AATTGATTATTAAAATTAATTATTCTATGTTTATTAATCAAAAATGTGGAATAATTAACCAACTATTTTTTGTCAGATCTATAAATAAGTATATATTTTAATAAAATAATATATGATTACATGATAAAATATATACTTAATTTAAAATCAATAATTATTAATATATTATTTTATTCAAAATGATAAAATCATCATCTATTTAACGAGGCAAAGCTCGCCTTAAAAATAATAGGAAAACAAAAAGACATAGTCGTAAAAAATGTTTATAAATAAAAAAAAAATAATGACAATTTTTATGCATTTGCAAATAAAACTGATTATGTGAACTTTGTATAGATATGTAACTTAAATAACACTAATAAAATATCTTCTAAGAAAAGAGTTAAAACGCAAAAAACTGATATTTTTTTGACATGGATACAAGAAATGATACAGGTGTGTATGCAATGTAAACTATTATATGCAGAAACGATTCACGAACTCTAGACATTTAGCCGGAATAACATTAAAAAGTTTTCCAAGAAAAGTGATTTTAAGAATTAATGAAGATTGACGCAATAAACTATTATACATTTATTTTTCAATTTTATACTAATTCAATTCATATCGAAAGTGACTTTATTAGACAAATAACATTTTTTTGAGATATACATTGTTGTTTACACTTCTATCTTGCGTTAACCTGTTTGCCCCCCCCCCCTCTTTCTATATAATTTTTATTTTATTTTAATCTATAAAATCTAAATAAAATTGTATGTGCTAATGCCGCTTTCAAAATCAGGTAATAAAAGTGTGTAATTTTCAGGGAAGGAAATAACATATTAAATATGCAGATATGACGCGTTTTATAGACCAAACTTTCTAATAATTAACATAATTTATTTAAAGGAATTAATTTTATTTATAGAAACATTATTTTATTTGATAGAAAGATTAATCAACAATTTCATTATTGTCAAGTATACGCAAAGTTAATATTAGCTAAAACATATGTATATTAAAATATAATTAAAAAATTTTGTTATTCTATTAGTTATAAAAAGACAAAATGAGTAGGAAGATCGAAATTTGCACGTTTGGTATAACTTCAGAAAATCGATGCACTAAACAGATATGCAATCTGCATTATGCCCTATCTACACCGAAGGATAATCCTACTTGTGGCTCATCCGACCACTTTCGTTCGTCTACACTAAGTACAATTTTAGTGTTGTTATATTGGTACCGTTGACTTTAAAACCGGTAATAATTTCAGTACCTAGCCTATAAAACAAACTTTCATCCGATCTAAGGTAACCCGAATTGTTATTCTGTTCGACAGAAGATTATTTTTTATAGAAATATCTTTGCTTTTTATATGCAAATATTCTAATGAGTGATTTGCTTTTTTGAGTTGGTACGATTGAAAACCAACTTCAGTATGATTTTCGGTCGTCTACATTACTCGCTCGGATGAGCCACAAGTAGGATTATCCTTCGATGTAGATAGGGCATTACATGTAGCTATGTACAATTGCATATCGACAGGCGTTCGAATAGTTTTAAATCTTGACGATGAGAATCGAGAATTCAAGATCGGATGCAAAAGAAAAACGAATTTCGGTTATTACCTTCGCGGAAGATGAAGATTGATGTAAAGGTACTTGTTACGTCACGGACGAGTTAATGCAATCCACGAAAAAGGAGAGTTCATTTACAGAGTAATTTATCATGCTTTCAAAGACTGACCCTGGGGGATCACAGCCTTCACCACAAATGTAGAAACCGTGATTTATATATATATATATATATATATATATATATATATATATAGTATGCGTGTGTGTATAAATCTAAAAATCTCAATCGTAATTTTTCCGAGTTGTGAGCCACGATTTGGTCGCGATTTATCGAGCATTCAGCAAGAAATGTTTTGTGAGGCATCCGATAGTTACAAATAATCTAACACAATTACAATTTACTTGTCGCGTTGACAGATTTTTATTTACTACAATTTAAAAAAAAAATTATGGGAAAATTGTTGATTCTTCTGAATACAAAGAATAAAACTTTCTAAAACACAAACGTGTTTGTTGCAGCGCGGCACGTTTCTTGGATGTTGCAACGTTATTACGACTATGTTTCACTTTCAGCTGGTTACAATGTGCATTCCTTGATGTTTCACGAATATAATTTGAACAGTAATGCATGTAATAAACGCAATAGTGATGTAAGATCGAGCAGCTTCGGCAAATTTTTAATTTCCGGTCATTTGTGATAAATAGATAACACGTACGCGCGGCCAAACATGGGAAGTGCGTTATTATTGCCACGGTACATTTATGACGAAATATTGTTAAAACGACAGATAGAGAAAACAGTAATAACATACATTTAGATTACTTCAATAGGCATCGTTCTTCGGAGAAGTTTGACAGGCTCAATGCGAATTAGCGAAATATGTCATACGTTACTTAATAATACTCGTTCACCCTGATTTGACGCAGATATTCGTATAGATGCACATTCTTTTATATTCATTCGCAATTCGCAAAATTTTGTTCATCTGTATTGCAAATAGACTAACTTTTATCTCTCGTTAATGTTTCATTTATATTAAATTCACTGTAGTTAACTATATCTCAATGATTACGCATATATTATGAGTAAAACTGTAATACGCAATTATATTACATAAGTAAATCAACGACAATTAAACGACTTACTGACGTGTTTACGTATTACTTTTTAACTGTAGTATATGTGTAGCTTCTTTTGTGTAGATTTTTTAGATTTTTATTAAACTTTTTTTAGATTTTTTACATTTATTAAAATTTTTTTTAGATTTTTTGGATTTATTAAAGTAAATTTGATAAAAAATTTCTTTTTAGACATATTATATGTATATTATTATTTTTGTGACAGTAATTTTTCACTCTTTCTTTCGCTGAAACTTTATTCTAATACACGATTTAATTTGTGATATACAATCACAAATAATTGTACTATATGTAATATATAGTCACACGACTATAAATATTACAAATTTGTACATATTATAGTAATTAAAATATTTCGTCTATTTCGTGTAAAGCTTTAATTAATGGCTTATCTCAAAAAACAATTAAAAATTTTATTTTTTTAAGATTTATAATTCAAATATCCTGTTTTGAACATTCCCTGCGCTAACAACGCAATCTTTCCTCTACGAATCGATCGATTAGAGTCGGATTACATAAATCCTTGTCACTTCTTCTTTATCCTCTTACTTGCCGTAGAATTCGCTTGTGCATAACAATCGCAGCTCTATCGATCTATTGATCCGCGCGACAAAGAATAGATCTTTGTCCGCGATCTTTGAGTGCATTGAAACGGCAGCCGGCGCGATGCGTGCATGCGATCGCATTGTCGTCGATATAACTCAGTCGCCAGTGAAAGCGTCAGGTTGTAGATGCAACAGAATGACCCTGACACATTTCGCAACACTAGTGCGCCTCTAGCAACCGAGGTAATTTCCCAGGTGTAATTTGTATCGGCGGTTATAAGTTATGGCCGGGTTCTTGTTCTCTTCCGGCCAAATACAGCACGGCAGCCTCGCCGTGTTTCTTTTTCCTCATTAAATTCGCAATCTACGTGCACGTATTACTTCTTACGCGCCGCAGAAAAACCGCCACTTGGCGGTGATTTTTGCGAAAAGTCATTTCTGAGATCGTTCTCTGTCGCAATACATACGACAATAAAGGACTTCGTTATTCTATCATTCGTGCCGTCACGCACGCACACAAATCCGTATATGCTCATTACGATGTGTGGCAACAAGTATAGACGTTAGTGTAATTGATAATGAGTAGCTGGAAGTAACGATCACACGCTAAGTAATTTTGCAATGTACAATCATAATTTTGTAAATTACTTAGTTATTTTACAAGTTTACATAATCATTTTTCTCACTCGCGATATGCACTTGCTACGGTACACTTTCAATAATCCCATCAATATTTTATCAATTTTAAAAGAACGATTGTTGGACTTTACGTTGCAGCTTTTAAAGAGAGTATGACGCGTGAGCTATCGCAACTAATACTTTGAAAAATTCTAACTTTAGACTTGAAACGCGTATTGTAAGGCTGTGTTTAGAGAGCGTGCTATCGGCGCTATTGTGTCATTCTATCCTTGTTTTATGTTTAATGAATGATAAAGATAGAATGCAATAGCGCTGATAGCGCGTTCTCCGAACGCAGCCTAAATAGGTGCAAGCGTGAGCATCAGTCGAAAAAAATTTCTTTATTAATGTAATGTAATAATTTATATATTTTTATATGCTAATTTATTAGTAATTTTAGCTTGTATTTTACAATGTGCAAAATTTGTTTCAAAACTTTGCAATCAAAATTGTAGTATTAATCTAAACATTCTTTTATTTCTATTATTAGATTTATAGAATTATTAGATTTCTATCATTATATTTATTAGATTAGAAATATTAAACGCAGCGTAATAACATCTCATCAAGTTTTCTTAAAAAAATTGACACTCATAAAAACAAAATTATAGTCAGGTAAAGGTCAAGGTAAAACATCGAAGCAAAACTTTATACTCATTATTAAGTAAAAAAAGTGTTATGTGATATAATCAAATGTTGTATGAAATATCTTATACGCAACAACATTATTGGAAGAAACAGGTGAAAAAAATATGAGGGATATTATTGTAAAAGGTAAATGTCAAAAATGTTAGAGAAGAGTAATAGTATAGGAAGTTATTAAAAGCTAATTTAAAAAATGTATTAGTTTTCTCAGAAAAAGATAAGTATTGTTTAATTACCCGAGATCGCGAGCAACTTTGTAAAATGACCTCGCACAATGGTAGCTGCTCTCGGCCTCGGAACACGCGAAGACGTACTAATAGCCATGCGAACTGTTCGACTGACTGTTGTATGTTCGTGTGCGGATTTTTTATGACGTGCTATAAAGTAAAAGGAGAACCGGTGAGACTCGAGGTAAGCCGTGTGCCAGTTGCATCATCGCTACGCCGATCGGCACTCACAGTGCAAACAGTTTCGTGCCGTACTCGCTAAAACCTGCAAGCGGGAAAGTCGTTAATCGTCAATCTGCATATTGGACTGTAATTAATCTCGGGAAAAAAAGTCGAATTTACAAACGTATCTCAGGACGTAGAATCGATTGTTCTTTAAGAATATCGATCGCCGATTATGGTGCTCTGATGATTTTGTGTGCTCCAGTAGTGTTACAAGTAGTGTCTACGCGCTTCTAATCACATTTTTTAATGAATGTGTAATGTTATCCATCGGAGAACACTTTGTTGAACGGACGTAAAAAAATATAATTGTTAGTTTTTTGTGCGATAATTTTATTAGAGAAGATAGTCTCATTAGAAGTTTGATTAAAAATGGCTAGTGAATTCAATCGAAGGAAACACAAAAACATTACGCTGAAATGAGTAGACAACATATCAGTTCGTTACATAATTCTAACTATTTTTAATTGCGTTAAGAAAATATGTAAATTGTGTCGTTTCGCGAAACAGTAGATATATTTTAACTGTGGATCTAACGTCATCATTGTGGACATATGTAAATGGCATTCTACCTGCATTTCGCGATTCTTGGAAAATTACCGTCATCAAAACGCATGCAGACGTTGCTGCAAGAGTGTCAGCCGGATGTTGGCTTTGTAAAAGGGAGGCATTGCATGCACGTAGCGAAACCTTTGCTACAACATACAGCTGCTCGTTTGCTACAACATACAACTGCTCGTTTGTGACAGACGAAAGAGACATGCTTTTATAACGCATTTTGAAACGTTCTCTTTACGAAATATAATCTATACATAAATTAACTTTCTCGTTAAACTTTGCTGATATTTGATATGGAAAATTATGTAAACTATGATTTGGATCATTGGAAAAATATCTGATTAACAATGCAATTTATGATCATTTATCTCTTTTGTGATATCATAATCTATTTATAATATATAATTATATATTCCTTAAATATGCTATACAGTAAAAAATAACTAACTTCTTTAGTCATAACAGTGAAAAAATTACGCAACAGGTAAAAATCGCACAGTTCATCCGATGTCAATGTGTTAGCACAATTGGCGTCTAATCAAAATATTTCCGAAGGCATTTAAATTTTTTAAACTTCTAACTAAATAATATTAATATAAAAAAATTCTTTTTACGGTGATTTTCTGATTGCTTATGTTGAGATAAATCGAGTTTGAGTTTTATTACTGCGAATAGTCAAGTCGAATAATCAAGCCAATCATAGACCGTTACGTCATCGGAGTTTGCATCAATGTCATAAATATTATTTATATCCTTGATCTTTGATCTTGAGCAAAAATGTCGTGCTCAATCTAGGCTTCAGGCAAGAATTTATTTGTTGATCAAATTTGGTATGAGACGGAACAATAATTCGCCTCATCACGCATGCATACGTGCGAGCGATACACACACAGCCGTTTAAGCGCATCGGATACTCGCGTGGATGTCGGTAGAACGAGGTTATCAGCAAAATTGAAGACAGACAGCCGACTGATAGCTGTGCGAGCGACGGCACATACGCGGCTGAACGCGAAAGTGTCGATTTCGTTCTACTGCGACGAACGTTGATCGAGGCAAACGTCGATCGAGACACGCGCCGATTCGGTAATTCGGTAGATTATATAAATCACGATCACCCGTCCGTGTGTTATCATGTCGCAGGAGAGTAATAAGAACAACAACGGAGTCGGATCGTCGACGATTTCGGTGAAAGATCGCCAGGAAGATCCGAAGGATTGGAAGATTCAAGGAAAGCGAAAGGTCGATGTCAAGACAGAGAAAAATCTAGAACTTTGTAAAGGTGCCGATAATATGCCGGAGCTCAAGGACGAGCCCCAGTTGCTGGAGGATGAACAGATCAGTCTGGACCTAAACGAACCGCCTCCGGAAGTCATGGAATATGCCAGAAGGGAGGTCGGCGAAACCGAGGAGGTCAAGTGTCAGGTGCTGCAGGAATTCCGCGACTTAATATACGGTAATTCGAAATCGGAATATAGAACGAATAATCATTAAAACAGGGAAATGTGTGCTAAATGCGCTGTAGATTTGACTATGCCATAAATGAGTTATTTTGACAGTTTTTAGAGTTCTTTTTCTTAATTTAAACACTGTTATAAAACAAATAATATTTAAAATAATTTATATTACAAGACCTTTTAAAATTAAAATAATGATAACATAAAGTGTCAAAAGCCTATGCTGGATGTTCGTGCTTATATATTTATTGAAAACAATCTAATCCAAGCAAACGTTTTAACTTGTAATTATTATATTGGTTTTAATTAATTTTTATTTTTATTTAATCACTGTTTTAATACGTTCATATATTAAATATTAAATATTAAATATGCGTATATTATACACTAAATTTCGCTTCATTCCGTTATAGTGTGTTTCGAAATATCAATTGAATCTGATCTGACTTTCATATCTTAGAACCGTGTTTACGACTATTGCTAATTGAAAATTAACGCAACATGATAAGACTGCAAGCGAAAGAGAGACTTTTATATTGTACGATTGCGTTCTAAAAAATTTTATATTATAATATTCAAAAAATTTTGTAAACACTGAAGATAGCCTGATTACAGATTGAAACGTTTGTTTAAATTAGATTGTTTTCAATAAATATATAAGCACAAATATCCAGTATAGGCTTTTGGCTCTTTATCTTATCATTAAATAATATTTAATTATTAGTGCATAATTGCTAGTATATTATAATAAGAACTATAGAGAAATACATATAGTTGTTTCTCTTTTGAAATGTCAAATTTAAAATATCATTCTTGAATCGAACAAAGGAAAAGTTTGCAAAGTTGAAAGCTTTACGATGGAAATTTTGTCACTACTTTTATTATTATTTATTTGGCATCGATAAGTGATTTATGCATTTTTCGGCAGAGAGAGGCGAGTGTTTGCCGCACAGAATGGACGACGATTTTCTCATCAGATTTCTTCGCGCTAGAAACTATAATCTGAAGAGTGCATACAAACTGGTGAGTTGTAAAATTAAACACTGACACTGACATTTATGATGAAATGGACAATTAGCAAGATGAAGGTCATGATAGGGAATGAACAGACAGATCGATTAAAATCGATAAAATAAGCATTTCACTGTTAAATGCATGCTAGCGGTGGTACGTTTTCTGTCATGTCGAGTAGATAGTGAAAGATCATATCGAGAAGAAAATGTAAATACAAAACTATCAGTTTAAAGAACGGTAATATAAAACGTATAGAAAACGTAAACGTAAAAATATCAATTACGGGAGAGAAGGAAAAATAGTAAAAATATTTTCTTAGATAGTCGGTTGTGCGTATTCACGTTAAATATGTAAAAATAAAATTTTTAAAAAATTTTAGTTGATTTATTTTTTACTTGAATATATTAATAACACTTTTTTGTAATCTAAAAAGTTTGATTACGTTTTATAATTAATTTATAGGTTTAAAAAATTAAATTATTTAAGATTATCAGAAATATTGTGATTCGTAAAAGTAAAATAATTAGTAATTATTCGCTTTGGAAGTTATTTACAATATAAGACAATCAACAATCCAATATACTTGTAACTATCGAGATTATTTGGATCAATTTTATTTTTATTTGTCTGATCCCCTATCTTATTGCACACGCAAAGGAGAGAGTAAGTAATTTAATCTAAATTGATCTAATCGTGCATTCATTGTGTCATATATAGACGTATTATCTTTCTCTTCTTTCCCATTATGTTTCATTATCTTTGATTTCTTCCGTGTAATCAGGCAAAATGTCAACAAATTTGTTTTTATCAACTTTAATTATCATGTTATTGAAAAATATTAAAGTCCATAAAATATAAAGATTTACTGAGCAAGTTTTATTAATGCAAAGTTTTAAAGAATGTGAATGTTTATAATTACTATTTCTCTCGATAATTTATACATCAAATTATCTCTCGTAAACAAATGCTTTTTAACTGTATCAATTATTCACTGTATTCACAATTATTATTAATCTTTAATTAATACCAAATAATTGTGCTATGATGTTATAAAAACTTTTGTAATAAAAATAAATAGAGGAATTAATGAATTAAATACAATAAGTTATTATTCCTATTATCAAAGCCAATTGTAAAATTTAACCGCGAATGCCTGCGCATGCATGAGAAAACAAACAGGCTATTTATGAATTAATTAACGACATGGCTCGTGGTCTTTTTAATAACCGGGGATTTATAATTGTCGCTTATCACTTTATGGTGTGTATGTTTTATTCATGATTTTGATTTAATGAGACGCTCGAACGCGAGTCAATGGTTGATCTTTCTCAAGATCAATCTTTCAATAGATAGTGAATTACTACAACTTCAAAGAGGAATATCCGGAGATCCACCAACAGTTGAATGCGGCGCAAATGAAAGTCATAGGCGATGACAATGTGATAGGGGTGCCACCCTATAGATCTCCATGCGGCAGGCGCATGTTGATCTATCGCATAGGCAATTGGGACCCGCGTAAATATCCCGTGTGGGAGCTCTTCAAAGCCACGGTCGGTGTGCTCGAGCTGGCCATACTCGAGCCGACAGCGCAAATCCTGGGCGGTAACGTTATCTTCGATCTCAAGAACCTTACGATGGCACACGTGTGGGTCGTGACACCGCAAGTAAATTATTATTTTTCTCTCTCTCTCTCTCTCTCTCTCTCTTTCTTAATAATTTCTATGTTGCGTTCAGAAGCCGCTTGTGTGACAAATGTAGCTGCGTGAAAAGATAACAAGCCGGCACTAATGTTGCATACATACGTGAAACATCGATATCTTTCAGATAGCGAGCATGATGGTGTCTTTAATGGTCACTGCATTTCCCATCAAGACATACGCCATACACATCCTCAATCAGTCGTGGGTGTTCGACGCGATCTTCGCAGTCTTCAAGCCGCTGCTCGACGCCAAAATGCGAAACAGAATCTTTTTCCACGGTACCAATTACGAGAGCCTTCACAAGCACCTCCCGCCTGAGTATCTGCCGAAGGACTACGGCGGCATAAGGAACGACCAGCCTTATTACAAATGGATCGAATCCGTGTGTCAGAATCCGAAGATCGTCGAGCAGATGAAAAAAATGGGATTCACCATCACGGACGATATGATCGAGTCTTTCAATTTGAAGTAAAAATCGCTTTTAGATTTGCATAATTTTGCGTACGCCACGATTGATTAGCACGTCTTTATTTTATTACTTGCCTCTTTTGCCTTGCATTGCATTCTACGATTTAAACATGTAGAAGTTTCAAGCGCATGCTTCGCATAATTCATTGATTAATTTTATATATCTAAAAATACAACGAATATATATATATATATATATACACATATTTTATCTTATTTATATATCTTTTTAGTAATCGAATTTTGTATTAAATAAAAGTTTCAATGGATTACTTTACTCTTGTTTTACATGTTGCAATCGCAATTTTCTTGCTTAATCGCGCCTAACCGTGCAATGTCCGTGCAATCGTTGTGTTTCTCCACACGCCTCCGGCCGATGAGTCTAACGCTATTCTAACCCTTTGCCGAGTCACTTCATCGACAGAGCTGATTTCCTTCCTGCAATTTATTAACGATCGATTATCAGGAAACGATCTATCCTACATTGTTTGACCTCGCGCGCGCGCGCGCATGCGCGACTTTAGATTTGATGTGCGTCACGGTGCATTGTGAATCGTTTAATTGCGAATCCGACATGCCAGATGTTTCTTTCTTGAGACGAGATCGTGACGAACAAATATGAATCATGGATCATGACTCGTGAGTCACTCGGATCACTCATGTTTAAAAAAAAAAAAATAAAACAGATAAAAATAATGACTGCAAATGGCAGAGACTTGGCGAGATGAGAGAATAGCAAGCAATCCGTTCCGAACAAATCGTTGTGCAAAAATTAGGTGAAAGTACAAGAGAGCGATGAGTGAAAGAAATAATTGAACCGACTTATTAACGGTAAATGAGGACGATTTGCAGCGAATCGTCGAGCAATTATTTTCTTGAACCAATATCGCGAGAGTTAATTAAATACAGCATATAATTGCGTATTTAGTAATAAATTGTGAGCAGTTCAAACGATAAGAGATGCACACTTAAGTTTAATAAGAGGATTTTTTGCTGAACGCGATTAAATAGAGCTATCGACGAAGCATTCTTGGAGAATACTATTAGTTATTAGTTAAGAAATTAACATTTGTAAAGAATATTTAAAGTGACAATTGTTTTATAATGAAACGGAGGGCAATGCGGAGCAAAGCACGCTATTCAGCGAAGAGAAATTTGCTGAATAGGAGTAAATAAAATATTTAACGAAGTGTTCTTGTAATACTGTTAAAGAACAGATCAGGTTTCTTCAGAGAACATTAAGAATATTCGTATTTTTAAAGAATATTGTTATGAAGCATTAATTGCTCTATGATGAAAAGGAAAGCAATGAAGAATAAAACACGGTATTTCTCGGCATGTTACTAAAAACTGGAACCCATTCAGACATGAAAAGTAAGCTGCATGCGAAAAGTGACGGTTAATAAATGGCTTTCTCGATGTAACGGAAGCTTTTCGTTTAGAATAAATGCAGATCATCGACCAAGAATTAATGCTATGCGCTGAGAGCTGAACAAACGTGACTTTCTTTAAAATTCTGACAGCGAAGAACAAGAAACATAAGCATTTATAATTAAGAAGCCGTCGGTGCTTTCGCGTCCGAAAGTTTCCGTATTCATTTCCGCCTGTCGGGAAGCGCGCGACTCTCGATACATGCTGCAATTAAAATAAATTGAAAAATATCTCCAATCACAATTTTTACTCATGCCGATCTCGTTGCTCCTCCCTTCAACGTACAATCGCGCGCAATATTTCCGCCGCGCTTCAAGTATTCGCGACTCGATTGACCGAGGAGCTCTTCGAAACTAAAAGGAAACCCATGTAACCGAAATGCTCGAGAGATTCGAGCGAGCCCATTGCGTCCGCTCGGCCCGAAATAAGAACGCGTCCGCTCCGCGGGACGAACTCGGGATGGAATCGGGGAAGTGGTGAGCGCGCACGCGGGGGAGGATGCAGAAGTTGGGTCGGTAGGGTACGTAGGACCGTAAAGGAGGCGCAGGTAGGGCCTGGCGACAACTGCCGGGGGTTCCGTGGTGGTTGTTATCGACCCGGCGACGGTGGGTCGTGTAGCCGTCAGGATCGCAAGGCGCACGCCTGGACGGCAGCAAGGCGGAAGAGGGTGGCGATGACGAGGGATAAGAGGGAGCGCGCGGCAGATAGGCGAGGCAGACGGAGACAAAAGCAAACGAGGGGTGCCGCGCGGAGAGCAGCGAGCGGGGTGCCAACGAGGTGGTGGAGTATTATAGTGTATATATACTGCTGGTCGTGCAGGGTAGGTCGTGCAGAAGAGGCAGCGACGATCCGCGCCGGTAGTAGCGACCCGGCTGGCTAACGCGCCCCACACACACGCGGGGGTGTTGCATCCCCTCGAGAAGCTCGTCCGGAGCTCGGCGCGTGTACGCGCGCGTTTATGTGTGTGCGCGCGATATTATCGTGGTGCAGCAGCTCTGCGTCAGCGAGCTCGGGTGGACCCGCGGACGTGCGGAATCGCGTGTTCCGGTGTTTCGCAGCCGGATTCGCGACTCGGGTAAAAAAAGCCAAGACTTCGACCTTGCCGCCCTCGCCGACAGCAGCAGCGGCGACGGCAGCGGCGGCGGCGGCGGCGGCGGCAGCAGCAGCAGCAGCAGCAGCGGCGATCGAGCGACGAGAGAGTGACCACCCCGAGATCATTCAGTCTACGGGAGACGTCTCTTTCGGGAATCAACGGGGCTCCACGTGCGTCCATGGCAAAAATAAAGGAAAAATGGTAGCCGCGATCGGTCGATCGTACCTTTAGAGGAAGACGAGGAGGAGGACGACGTGAAGATGACGCGATAGAGAGTGCGACAAGAGAGAAGGAGAGAGTAAGAGAAAAGTGTACAGTGTGGTGCACGTTTTAAAGGGGAAGAAGGAGGCGGTGGACGACGACGACGACGACGACGACGACGACGACGGTGCCATGTCACAGCGCGGACGACGCGCGACCACAACGACGCAGACTACGATGAACGAGGATTTCTACCTGACTTGTGGCAGGCCGTCGAACCTGCTGCGGACGAGCTTCAGCAGCGCTGGCCTTGAGAAGCTCTATCGCGCCTCGTCGCTGCAGCAGCGTCGCGGCGGTCTCACGTGCTTCCTTATGTCGGCGATTCTCTACGGCATCTACGCGATCTCGGTGCCGGGCGTCGAGCTGCCGACCCGCGCCGTCACCGCGGTCTTCCTCAGCCTGAACGTCTGTCTGCTGGTCTGGGCCGAGCGCGGCACCAAGGCGCGCAACTCGCTCTGGTCGGTGGTGCCGTGCGTGGTCGGCCAGCTGTGGATCGTCCACCTGCCCGCACAGCTGTTCCTCCAGTCAGCCAAGGTCACGCCGCGGGACGGCCTAGGCTGGATGCTGTTGCTGCTCTACCTGCTGTTCGCCAGTCTGCCGCTCAAGCTGTGCTGCTGCGTGTCCCTCGCGCTCGGCAGCGTCCTCGTGTACTTCGTCGCTGTGATCGGCCTGTCCAGCACGACGTTCGAGGAGCTGAAGATGCAGCCCGTGGACGCGGCCCGTGTTCTGGTGGGTAAATGCGATGTTTCTCTCTCTCGCGCGCGCGAGAGAGCACTGGATCGGCGGCTGTTCTTCCTCCTCCCCCTTTCCCCGCCTGTCCGCCGCCGCTCGAGATGATGCTCGAGAAGATTGGGTGGCGAGGGGTTCAAGCACTGTTGACAGGATGAGCCTTCTCCAACTACGCGCGGTGAAATACCTGTCGTTTAATCAATGCGACGAGCTAGCCCTGCGAAAGCTCGCGTAATCCACCACGTGACCTTCTTCCATTTATAGCGCCCTACGGAGTTATTAAAAATAACACGAATACTCATATACACCAGGTTCTATATTTAATGAGTCAGTCCCTTCAGTCACGTCTAAAAAACGGCAATAATGAGATCGAAACGCGTATACGTGCGTCGACGCCGGTTTCGATAAAAAATTGAAAAAGTGATAATCAGGAGGAAATAGAAGTCCGGATCGAATAACGAGATACATTTTTCATATTGTTCTGAATTGACGCAAGCACAATTGCGTGTATGATTTTTAAAAAAGAAAGATAAAAAATAATAGCCACGCGCGCGTATTAATTGCGAGCAAGGGGTATGAAAACGCTTTCTCGATACGCACGTAGGATCCAAACAACAGTGTCACACGGCAACGCCAACTTCCACAAACTGATTCACTGTCAACTGTAGACCGGTGGCACCGATGTACACCAACATCGATCCAAGTTCAACGAGGCATATCGCTACTGCTGTTGCGAATTCGCGATAATACGGATAGTTGCGGAAATAAAAAAAAAAAACTAGAATATAATATTGTCAAATTTTTAACAATATGCGTGAGGAAATGTATAAACTACGCGTTCTATATGAAATTTGTAAAAATCGTGCACTAAAAGAAATTAAATATACACGTGAACACGGCGGCAAATTAGTTTTATTGAAACAAAAAGTGTCCGCGAAACGTGTAGGTTAATGCGTAGGCGTCTTTTGTTTAAATCGGAAAATCCGTGTAAAATGTGCAGATTAACGTGTAGGCGTAAAATTTCACAGATTTAACAGCTTTATTAATTACAAATTATTATTCTTACTAACTTTTGACCTATGCACGTCAATTTGAAGCGGCCCACGTTTATCGCATCAACACATTGCATTAAACATATTTAGAATAAACATAAACACATACTTTTTCATTAATCGCATGGCTGCCGCGAATAATCCGGTAATTTTCGATAATTTAGTTCATTTGAGTAGAGCTTTTTTTATATCACAATGCGATTATTAATTAAAGCTATCGGCTACATTGACTTCGTATTCTAATCACGAATATCCAAATTTGCTAATTAATAAAGGAATTTCGATAATTATCATTGACATCATTAGCATCAATCGATTACATTCGTTAGCGGATATAGCGCGTACGTGTTTTAGTATACCGATGATATTGAATTACTAGCCATCCGTGAAAATTGATATATGTATACCCGCTATATGCTCACATAGGCTTGTCTTATCGATTCTGGTGCGCGATGTAATATCATTGATAATAGTATTTGCAATACTATATATCGCTACTAAAGTTGGCGTACTCGTACCACCGACACTTTTGTCTTGAGCACGGCATTGAATACAAACACAGGAGAATCGTAATTTTGTTGTCCTCACTCGTTGTACATATTTCATAAGTGTGATTTTAAATACGCGATTTTGAATAATACATTTAGTGAAAAAATATTTCGAAAACACGAGAAACCGGTGATATAATTGCTTCATTACATATTTGCTCTCCGTTCTCTCTTCCCCCCCCCCTCCTCTCTCTCTCACTCTCTCTCTCCTTTTTAAATATTTTCTCTACAATCCATTTCATCGTGAAGAATAGAACGATTATTGAATTGAATGAAGAGCTGACACTAGAGTTTAAGAGATTTTAGAAATTATCATACACGTCATATTTTCTTTGCTTTTCATTTATAATTAATAATCACTCAAAAAAATGATCTTGCAATAATAGCTAAAATTTTCTAGGTGTAAAAAATTAACTAAAACAGATAAATGATTAGCAACTGTTGTGATATTGCATATGTTATTACTTAATCAGTTTAGATGACAGAAACAATATATATCTGTATTGTTTGTGAACTTTAAAAAGAAAGTTTCTCTAAAGCGCTTATCTATATAAGATCAATCACGTGTTAGATCATGCAATGAATAACATTTAGCAATGGTACCTAAATTTTTGAGAAGCTATTGCTAGAACATTACTGCTATAAATTCTATATGTGACAAACAATGTTTTCACAGATACGAAAAATAGCGATACATTCTTGTTGCGATATTTAGAAATCTAACTACATCAGCGAAATATTTTTTTGAGTGATATTGAATAACAAAATTAAACTTCTTATCGCAAGTATTAGACAAATTTATAACATGTTAAACTCACTTTAGAGCTTATAATTCGCGATGGAAGTCGGAAAAGAATTTTATTTATAATTTTATGTAACGAGAAATATCAGAAGATAAAAATTTGTGATTTAAAATATCCATGTTTGATTGTTAAATTTAATTAATTTAATTAATAATTATCAAGTTTATAAAATATCAAAGCAGACATCAAAAGCAGACATGTGCAAAATATATATAATTAGTGATATATTTTTATTCTTCAAATGTTTTTTTATAAAACTGCAAAGAGATTCTTGTCTCGAATTTTATTCTGAATACATAAATAAATATAATAAATCTAAAAGTTGCTTAAATAAGCCTAAATAAAAAATATAATATTTGAGAATATCTTATCACATTAAATGTGATATGACAAAGTTTTATATTTAACCTATCTTATCTACAATGTAATATTTAACAATCTTATTTACAATGTAAATTGTATTGTAAAATATGATTTGCTTTTTGAAGAAATCTCATCATTAACACACTTCAAATATTCGAAGCACAAAAATACTGAGCAATTCGCACGTGTTTGCTGATGTAGGAAATTAACTTCATCGATCCTTACAATTAGTATAGCTTGGCTATAGTATAGTAAACAATATGAGTGCATTGGCCGAGACATGCGAAACTTTTGGCGGCGAATATCGTGTGAAAGCGAAAGCTGAAAGTAGACGTGCCGCACGTGGCTCTTGTCGTTAGTAACACTCGAGTAGAGATTGGTCAATGGTAGTTTAAAATAGAGAGAGAGAGAGAGAGAGTGAGACGGAAAGAGCAACAAAGATGTATAGTGACACATAATGAGAGCGAAATAGAGTGAAAGAGAGAAAGAGCGACGAAGAGAGCGGAAGAGCGGCGCTGTGCAATGATGCGAGAGGTTGCCTTTCGATACGCGACGCTCAATGCTTTTTCACTGAGAATAGTGACCACCTTCCATCGCCACACCATGGAATATCATCCGGAAAAGTGACCTTACGAACGTAATATCGATTGCATTCGCTGTCAATCAAGCAAAACATCACGCAGACCTTTGAACTATCCAGTTTTCCAATTTTCCCATTTATTCACTCTTCGAAATGAATGTAATCTGTTTGTTCTAGTTTTTCCGACATTAAATATCGCACATTGGCGCTAAAAAATTTTCTGAAAATAATTAGTATTGAATTTTAAATGCTCGTTATAAATAAAGTATGATTTATATCTTGCGTGTTCTGTCACTTGGACAATATCAAGTATGTTTGAAGAAATCAGTTTTTATCTATCTCGATACGTGATTATTTGTTATTTAAATTAAATCTTGACGAAGACTCTAATGAACTCGCCGCCAACTTCGCGACACTAGCCGAGCCAAACACCCGTAAATCAGTTTTGTAAAAAAAAGAAACCACGATCTTGTAGATCCTGACGGTGACACTTTTTGCGGGCGCCGCTATCCTGGGCGCGTGCAGCTACTGCCTAGCGGAGTTCCAGCAACGCCGGGCGTTCCTGGAAACCAGGCAGAGCTTGGAGGTGCAGCTGATGATCGAGGAACAGAGCGCGGAGCAGGAGCGGCTACTGCTCAGCGTCCTGCCGGAACACGTCGCGGTCAAGATGCGGCAGGATCTCGGCGCGTCTCTCGATACGCAGTTCAAGAAGATTTACATGTCCAGGCATGAAAACGTGTCGATACTTTACGCCGACATAGTTGGCTTCACCGCGATCTCGTCGACTTACAGTGCCAGCGAGCTGGTCAAAATACTCAACGAGCTCTTCGCACGATTCGATCAACTCAGTGAACGGTAATTAATCAATTTTTTCTTGTTGTTGCCTTGTTGTCAAGATCGAGTGTCAATTTAATAGATTAATTTTCAATATATTTATATTAACACGCACACACACATACGCAACTATTTAATATTATGTTACTAATGAGGAATTCACCTTTACGTTAAGTCAAGAATGTTCAATATTATTAAATGGAACGCTCAAGCTACGATCAATATTGTTAAATTTTATGATTACGTTTTTGCTTTCAGAGTTTGCCAATGCTGTAAAAAAGTACATTATAAACAAGTCGAGAAATACTGACCCAGATTAGTGCAGATTTATATATATATATATAATAAAAAAAAACTAAGTAACTTCAGTCCGCTAATGATTAATTTTTTATTTATTCAAAGACTTGACTCTTTTAAAATCATCAGCGAAAATAGCCGAGATAAAAAAGAAGAAATATTTGTCACTTGCATCGGAAGTTATTTATGAGCTAACCCGATTGTATATATTAAGCAGAACCTCGCGTGCTGTCGAATGCTAATCGTAAAATGACTCGGCGAAATGATGGAGTTCCGTAGCTCGCGCGTTCCATTTCCGCCAGATAACGAAAATTGTACGGCCGGCGCGGCGACGAGATTGATTCCGTCGGCGAATTCACCGCCGATTTTGTCTCCAGCCGCCCGACTCCGCAAATTCTGCCGCAGGGGGTAATCCTGCGGGGAACACAGGCGATCGATATCCTCGGGGATACGTTTTTTCGTTGTCGCCAAATGCAATTTGCAGTTTGCGCGACCGTACGTTATCACGTAGTATCGACGGCAGTTTGTTATTCGTATCGAGCGAATTCCGCGAGGAACACTTCTCTCCCGACGCAATTATCGGAAATGTGTTCCACTGATTGATAACACGAGCACGAAGGAACTTACTCGAGTGCGAAGAAGTTGTAGCAATTTGTATGAAATTTGATTCGCAGATACGAGCAAATGCGCATCAAGATCTTGGGCGACTGTTACTACTGCATAAGTGGTGCGCCCGTCGAAAGGCCAGACCACGCAGTTCTCTGCGTGCACATGGGGCTGTCCATGGTGGAGGCGATCAAGTACGTGCAACAAACGACCAACAGCCCCGTCGACATGAGGGTGGGCATCCACACGGGCGCGGTGCTCGCAGGAGTTCTCGGCCAACGGCAATGGCAGTTCGACGTTTACAGCAAGGACGTCGAGCTGGCGAACAAGATGGAGAGCAGCGGAAGAGCCGGGTGAGAAAAACTGTTGATTTTCTATAAATCCAAAAACGGTAAAAACGATAAATGAGATAAAAAAATATTATAAAGAAATTTTATATTTATGAATTTAATGTGTCGAGCGTGTTTTATTTCAACGATACTTTTACTTCAACTTGACATAAAATGATCAGTTTGATAAGAGATATTCAGATCGAATATCATGACAATTGGTCGAAAACACGATACAATGTTCTATTTACCCGTTTTGTCGAGGTCGCGCTCGCACGATCGAATGCATAAATAAATAAATGTTTCAAGGAGGGTACACATCTCGAATTCGACGCTGCGCTTCCTAAATGGCGAATTCGAGGTCGAGCCGGCGCACGGAGAGGATCGGGAAGAGGCGCTCCAAAAAGCTGGCCTTGTCACTTACTTTATAGTAAGGGCCTTGAAACCATTTAAGCCGGCGGTGACGAAGAGCCTCGCGTCGTTGGCGGACGCGGAGAACTCACAAAGGACGATGGAGAGTGCGCAAGACAAGGGGGACAATAGCAGGGAAGATTCCGAGGAATTTCAGCAACGTCTGAGGAAGAAACTTGACAGTAGAGGTAAAATTAAAATTGGCCGAACATTTTGAATCAGAGTTCAGATAACATCTTTTGAAGTAATTTTTTTTTTTTTCAATATTATGTTATTTATTAATTATCCAATATATTCAAGGATACATAAGATAAAAGAGAAAAATTATTGCATTGAAATCAACAACTTTAATTATTTATTTATATTTTTTTACTAGTAAAAGTTAGAACGTGAAATTTAAACGTCAAAGTCTGAGAGTTCCACATACCTAGTTAAGGGTGAAGGTTGCAATATTGTTTTATTTGAACTCGGCAGGCAACTCAAAAATCCGCGCATGCGTTTGCAAAGTACCACTCATCGGGTGTTGTAATTATCGACGCGGATACTGATTACAATCGACGCTCGAACAAGCGTGCCTCCACTTTGACTAACATCTAACTACGCAACAAGCGCCGACTAAATTGCGTGAAAAAATATCTATATTTCGAGTATACCTAAATTTGTGTGGTCGTACATTCGAACTTTTGAAATACGTACGGGAAACGGAAAGTTGATCTTTGCATTTACGGAATAACTTCGTTCGAGACATTTCTGAAAATTTACTAACAAACTTTGAAAAATTCATTAAAATCAGATTTTCCGAAATGAAAATCAATTTCAACGAGAATCGTCCGGCAATAACGATCGCTCGCTGCTAATCGCCGGACATCCGGTCGTCCTATTAACGACTCGATCTTAAATATGACGTCAGCGCGTGAACACTCGTAGGTGGTGGTACCGACCTAAAAGGTCACGCCTCCTGGTTGACCTTACGATTCAAGGATTCGACCGTAGAGACGGACTTCCACAGCATCATGGAAGCCTTCTCGCCTCTGTCGCTCCTCGGCGGACCCCTGGTGACGTTGTGCGCCGCTCCGGTCTGGAAGCTACTACCTTGGGGACCGTTCACGTGGGGTGGCGCCGGGGTGGTCACCCTCTTCGGCATCGTGTTAGCTGGCGCCACTTGCCTGGGCAGCGCCGTCAGGGCGACGTGGCTCAGAAGCACGCTCGCAGTCCTAATGACATTCTCCCTCATAATCTTCCTGCTGTTAGACATGGTACGGACTCGGACGGCCGCTTTCAATCAATACTTGTTGCTGCAACTCGCTTGCTCGCACAGTTGAGAGTTCTTTCCACCTCAATTTATTCAGTTCGAAAATCTGCAATTTATTTTTCCGAAAATATTTTTCAAATCAAAGTTCGATAATGACTTTTGTTCACTTGCAGCATCATTGCACGTACACTTATTTTCGACGTGAGACATTAAGAACGATTTCGTCGTTATTGATATTTTTATTGAAGTACATGAAAATTTTGCAGAAATTCAGAATATTCTTTTTAACGTCTCAAAGTCTCTCTTCGATCTTGCTTATATATTATTTAATTCTATCGAATAAAATTCGGACAGACTATATATTATTCTTCTCATTTATTTTACGCAGTGCAACTGCGCGATCGTTGAGGAAGCCGACCCGCCGAAGAACGCCTCGCTCAGCTGGTCCCCGCGCTGCCCGTATCCTTCCTATTACTCGTACATCGGCGTCCTCGCGCTGGTCGCTATTTCGATGCCGACGTACCTCTGTTACCTGACCAAAGCGTGCCTGATGTACTTCCTCGCCGGCGCGCAGTCCTGCATCAACGTTCTGTATCTCGCGCCGATCCTCGACCGGGAGGACGTGGCGTCGTATCCGTCTGGAGTCGTGCCCTTTCCGTTGAGATACTCTTTGTCAGCTACGCTATTTGTCGTCGCGACCGCGCTAGTTATCGTGGCGAGATACGTAAGTGCATTCTTTCACTACAACAAGATCTTGTATTAACATAAGTATTTTTTTTTTTTGCTTTCTTATTTTGTTCACCTTATTAGCGATTTGACAGCTTAATAAAAAATTAACGTGATCGTTAAATTTGCGCGTGTTTGAAAAGTCTGATATTGAATGCGGTAGTTACGAGCTTCTCTTGACGGGGAAAAGAAAATTGGCCATTTCACGTTCGCGTAAATGGGGTTGTGATTTGTAACGGCACGCGAGAATAAAACGGCTCGCAAAGACGATCCCTTCGTTCAAGGACAGGTGTGACGATAAAGGAAAATTAACTCTCACAGATCTGCAAAACTGTGTCGATGACTACTTCGACGTCCTATTCTCGGCGAAAGTACATCGCGTTAGATCAATATCGCGAGCAAGTCAATCGGATCAGACATCAAGTGCGAGAGAATCAGATGCTTCAAAATATGTTATTCGCTTAAATTAACACCATCAATGTTGTGCTTTTAAAGGTCGTGCAAGTCTAATTTTTTTTTTTTAATTTCAGAGGAAATCTTTATTTTATTATTGCAATTATACCTTGCTTTACATATTAGAGAGATGAATCGAACGCCTCTGTAACTTTCCCGAAATAACTCGGTATGCATCAAGCGCGAGATTGAAACATAATCCATTTGCGGATATCGACGACAATGGCCGGGTTCAATCGAGAAATTAGACCTCGAACAATTTGCGATTTTCGAGTGGGCTTTTTGCGGACGTGTTGAATAACACTCTATTCACCCGGCAGGATTCTCTATCTGCTCGTTATTGAAAGCGCTGAATGGAAGAAGGGTGAAAGCAATTTCGTGCGAAGTTTTCATTCTAACGAGACGTTCTCTTCCCATTCTCGTTTCGTCACGGAAATACAACGCGTGTCCAGTGAAACGAGAAAAATCTGTAAAACAGCTCGGATAAGAAAACTTTATGTTTTTTGTCCGTTACATTTTTATTCTTTTCGGGTAAAAATGTCGCTCCGGTTTTCTTATTATCGACTAATTTATAACACCGGGTGTAAAACAATACACGGGTTATTTAAAAATTCTCGGAGTAAAATAAAAAAATCAGTTCATGTTGCTTTAAAATTATTTTTATTTTATGAAAATATGAGTCTTCGAGTCTTCAAAATGTTGATGCCATTTATACTTTGTTCCGAGAACTTTTTAAATAATCCACGTGTATAAGTTGATACCTTTTTAAGCCGTTTTTGTTCAAACGCGGGAGAAATTTCGAATAGCAATTTTGTTGTTGTGTGCAGGCTGAGAAGGCGAGGAGAATGTTGTATCTGCGAGGACGAGAAGTAATGGCGCAGAGAGAACGAGCGGCGGATATGAAGCGGCGAAACGGCGTGCTCATATACAACATCCTGCCGCCCCACGTTGCCGCGTACTTCCTGTCGCACGCGAGGCACTACGACGACCTCTACAGTCAGAGCTATGCCGAGGTGGGCGTGTTATTCGCCAGTATGCCGAACTTTGCGGACTTCTACAGCGAGGAAAGCATCAACAATCAAGGCCTCGAGTGCCTGAGGTTCCTGAATGAGGTCATCTCCGATTTCGATGCCGTAAGTCTTCGCTATTAATCCATTGCAATTTCGTGAAAGAGAACAGCGCGATGAATTGTCTGTCTTCTCAAAAATAAGCTCAGTTCACAGTAACGCTTTACTTAGCTTTAAATAGTTGTCAAGTAACTGTATAATTTTAGAAGAAGAAAGAAATAAAAAAATTTGTGCACTTTCGTAAACGCACTATAATTTTGAATATTTTTATACGTCACTTTAATTGAGAAATCGCTCTGTAAGTCGCTTTAACGCTCTTTCAGATCCTTGATCAGGAGAAATTCAAGGGCATTATCAAGATCAAGACGATAGGGTCGACCTATATGGCCTCATCGGGCATAACCGAGACAACCCAGTCGGAGGACGGTCCTCGGTGGGGCCACCTCGTCACTCTCGTAGAATTTGCTCTGGAGCTGAAGAAAGCTCTGTCGAGCATCAATGAACAGAGCTTCAATCATTTTGTTCTGAAGATGGGCATCAATCATGGACCGGTGACCGCCGGCGTCATCGGAGCGCGGAAACCTCATTATGACATCTGGGGCAACACTGTCAATGTCGCGTCGAGGATGGAGAGCACGGGGAAAGTCGGTTGCATTCAGGTATCGGTTATCTCACGATCGGAGCAGCTATTGTATCTATCCGGAAATGTTTCCAATCCAAATAATTCCGTTTTTCGTCAGCTGTTCCGCTCCGAATATTCGGACATATTCCGAATAAGTAAAAAGTCAATTCCGATCAAAATGGATATTGACATTCGCATATCCAAGCGGAAATTTCAAAACTGCTTTTATATTTTTTTTCAATAATTTGCGAAAAATAATTCGAAAGAAATTGTGCATCAACGTCCGAATTTTAATTAATTTATTATAATATAATAAATATTAAATCTTCTCATTTTTATTTAGTAAGTAAATTCCGTTATCGACGAGATTTATAATAGCTAGAGAATACTGATGGAATTGCGATCGAAAACTAAAGATAAATCGCAAAAGTTACATAAGCTGCTCTATGCTGAAGAAATATCAGCAATCGTTTGACATTTCTAAATTTTTAAATAAAAATTTGTGAAATAGCGAAATTTCATAATAAATATAAAAACAATTTGCAGGTTACCGACGAGACCCGGAAGATATTGGAGCCGTTTGGTTTCGGCTTTGAGCAGCGCGGTCTTGTCTTCGTGAAGGGCAAGGGACAGCTCTTGACGCACTATCTTGTGTCCAAGGACGGCGTCTTCCTGGATCTCGATAGCGATCTGCCGGTCGAACCCACCCATCCCATAATCTACCAATAATGTACTCGAAAATGGCTCTAACACGAACGAGATACATTACGGCTTTTCTCGGGGGGGTACTGGATTGGATGTTCGGATGGAAACTTGCTGCAGCCTCCCTCGAAAGCCTATCAGGTCGGATGTTTCGGGCGTCCTTTCTGAGCATCCACCCTTCTGAATATCCCGTGAGGAATTGCGACGCGCGAGAAGACGCGGAATCACTGGCGAATCACAAAACGTAAATTACGCAGTATCTCTGTACACCTACCGACTATTTCTTCAAATAATGTTCGGCAAGCTAAATGTACTGTCGTAGAAAACTCTCTAAATGTTAGCATATCCTCGTGTTTCTCAGAGCGAAAAGAAGTAGCACGCGGAAGGAAGGACGAGGAGGATCGGAAGAGCGGATCGGGCGAGATCGGCGCCTAGATCGTTCGCGACTGTCCTCGAGACTCGAGGCTCGAGTGTCTCATCCGTACACCGATACATGTTGGGTCTCCTCCTTCCGCGTTAATTTAGCGACAGCCAATGGCGCTGTTATCGTTAATTAATGCGAGGGGCGGAGAAAGATACAGTCGCTGTCGACTGTTCATTATCACAACGTTCGCACGCACGCGAGATCACGCACGCGTATGTGCGTGTTGCGTCGAACTCGTACAGGGTATAATAATAAAAAAAACAAAAAACAAAAAAGAGGTAATAGATTTAGAAGTCTACGGCGCAGAGGCTGAACACGCAGAATAAAACGATACCTCGATGTCGCCGTGTAAATAGCAACAAATCCGTAGGAGAGAAAACAATTGTAATATCGTTGCAGATAATAACGGATAGCTATCTATCAGATAGATTATTGTCTTTCGACGCTCTCGATAACACGAAAGCGAATGTTTCGCGCGCGATAAAATTATTCTAAATCCATTCTCTTCTTTCTCCGAGTTATATCGATCGCGCAACGGCCGTCGATGCGTGACGATTCAACGCAGCAAGTCCGCCGTTGCCGATTCGAACAGAGAAATTATGGGATCGTGTTTTCCTTTTGTTTGCGCACGCGAAACGATCGCTTCTACATTATTGAGATTCTCGAGATGATGTTCCAATTATTCGGGGCGCGAGGGCAGCGATGACGTGACGATTTCACACGAGTGGCATCTTTTTAGGAATTTAGAGAGAACTGTATTAATCTTCCGGATACACATACGTCATCCGTAGAGCGCACACGTGACGATATATATCGAAGATAGTATAAATATAACGCGGAACTTTTAACGAAGGGAAAATAAAAACACTACACTAGGGACTATAAACGTGTGCGCGCCGCGTAAAAAAAAAGAGGAAGAGAAAAAAAAAGAACATCGCCGATACGGTAGTAATTTATTTTTCTACAGTCGCCGAGGAGGAGAGAGGGGGAGAGAGAATTTATCACAGACCAAGATGAATCGAATATACATACACGAGGAGGCTTATAAAGAAATTTTCTACTAACTCTTTCGTTACGGTATGATGACGGCGCAAATCTCAATACGAAAATACGAAAGTCTCTCCTTGCGCGTGTTCAAGAGTATTTTATATACAACAAACTTGTTCTTCATCTCGAACTCGTGTAATTCGTGTAATTCGTGTAAACTTCTGTAAATTCATGTAAACAATTCGAATAAGTTGTAAAGTGCTCGTACAATTCGTGGCCGCATTGGATGTAACGAGAGGGTTGCCATAGAGAAAGAGCGAGAGGGTGGAAGGGGGGAGGAGAGAGAGAGAGAGAGAGAGTGAGAGAGAAAGGACAGTGTGAGGGAGATTGAGGACGGTGAGGGCGAGATTGAGTGGTAGCGAATTCAAGTAGGTATCGGCCTAAGCGCAGGGGAAGCTGAGCAAGAGTCAAAAAAATATGGATCTTTTGAATCGGTGGGAGAAGCGATATGCTTTCCGAATCGTTGCATAAATTGCGCACTTCCATTTCCGGCCGATTTGTCGCCCGCATAAATCACGCATTCACAGAGACACACTTGCATGTACTCGCGAAGACGCACCGATTGTAATACTAATGTAACACACATTAGTGCGCAAATCAGAGAGTTATCCTGTAAGGTAGCAATAAACTTTCGCGTACGTACATCACGTAAACTACTTGGACTACGCGAAGAAGTGCGGATGGATCGGTAAGTACGATCGATAGGCGCGCGGTATAATTCATCTATTTGAAAAATAGATTAATTAAGAGATATTAATAGAAGTTTATTTTGTGAAATCGTAAATTCGTCATTCTCGAAATTCAAGAGAGGTCAGGTTATAAATCGATTTCTTAATTTTCACTCACTCTGTTAAAAGAAACAGCACAAACGAGTATTGTACAGAAAATTGAAAAAAAAAAGAAAAGAAAAGATACGAAGATATTTAAATGATATTTTTGAAGTAGCCTTCGATATCAAATGTTGAGAGGAGAGAATCTTGCAGATTAAATTTCTATTAATTTCTTTCGGTATGAAGGATAAATAATTGGCCTAATATGCGCTGATTTTGGAAGTCGCGAATAATTTAGCGCAAAACTTGCGAAATAAAATAACAATCGAAGTAATTTTTCCAAACTCGTTTTAGGTTCTGACTACCAATAAGTCTGAGAATTTCTATCAATGTTTTGGGAGCAGAATTTCGATAACTTTCAATTCAACTGTTTCACAATTGGTTCGCAACAGAGAATCAAGTCCAATCTTTTAAGTGTCTAGGGTTACGCCATCAAAGACACGAGTAACAAGTGTTAGTATTAAACAAACATTAAAGATATCTTTGTAAATAAATTTCGAATTAGAATTCTGTGAATTTGAAGATAAAATAAAATTGATGGAAGAATATGCGATTTAGTCGACTGCTTGCCGTCCTAAAATCTCCCTTTAACTTTCAATTGTAAGTTAAAAAATTCACTTATACCACACCGTTGAGAAATAAATTCATTTCTAAGGTAAGATTAATGAGAAGTCGCCGCAGGCTGGTAATAGTTCTTTTATTGTTCCTCCTTTTGTTTCGATGGAAGAAAGGAAAGTAATTTACCGTGAGAGACGGGACGACCGAGTTACAACGTTCACAAGCACTATGTAATATGGCATAGATGACTAGAATCAGGAAACGCTTTGATACGATTACGGATCCACATTGGCACGATTGAATTCAACGCGCGACAATTTTACGTCGAATTGACCCACTTTTTCCACGACTGATACTCGATGGGACGCGAGAGGATCTCAACAAAATACTGTAAGTATCATAGAAACGTATACCACTGATCGAAAATTCAGAAATATCATACAAAGCTGGATGTGAAACACTCATTTTTACATTTAATTTACACATATTACGTCCCACATTTTTTGAAGATTCTTTCAATCCACATCCAATCACACAGAGAAGATAAACCAAAAGGATATTAAAGAATATTCACTCCCGTTTTGCTTTACTATCGCTATGCAGATCGATGCTACAGTCGATAAAGACTACAAGGCAAATTTAGGTCAACTCTTCACAGCTGCCCTTTTCACACATTTCCGCTTCTCCTCTTTTCCCTTTTCCCATTTTTTTTCTCAGAGAGTATGACGTACACTTACTCTCGCGTAGGAAGACTGCAGCTGAAAGAAATAGTTTTATTTATCTTCTCTTTGAGTGGTGTGTAGAAATAAGCAAGTTTAGGTTTCCTAGAGTCAAAATGCGAAGATAGCAGAGAGAGAGAAAAAAAGAACAAACTCTGTCGATATAAATTCTACCGCAAGAAAAACACAATTTCTGTTCTTGATTTCTTGATTTGATCACGGCAAAACTTACGGCAGTATACGTCTCGTACAATTCTTCTACCAATATTTTGGTTCCGTTCAACGTTCACGAAAATATCACCATACGAGATTTGTCTGAAATTTGTCGCTTATCACACAAAGAGAGCAAAGAAAGAAATTTCTTTCCCTTACACACTGTAATGCAACGCGTTGAAGCGTCATACATATGTCATACATTATACAATACGATAGTTAAAAAAAAGCAGTTTTGTGACGCGTCTTAGATTATTTTTAGAAATTTCGTTGCTTCGTACAGAGCACAACATCAAAATAACGAAGATACGCCTTCATAACGATCATAAATACATACAGTATATATGTAATTGTTTATACGTGTATATATATATATATTTCTTTTTATTATATATAAAACAAACGACTAGGCTGTACGAAACACGCTCAAAGATGCTTTTCTGGGCGCTTCGTGGGCTTAAAACGAAATCGAAAGCAATCCTGGGCGGGGGGGGGGGAGTCTAGCAAAAATAAATTGTATCCTTTAGAAAATTCTTTAATAGGAAGGTGTGTATATCAAACGAGTCGAGTTTATTTTTACTTATTTACTGACGTAACGATCGATATGAGATTTTATAAAAATATATGATAGTCTCAACGTTGCGTTGATCAACAGCTAGTATGAAAAAACTATCAGGTGTCGCGCGCGCGCGCATCACCAGACTTCGATTTAGTTTCAAGCCTCGACGTGTTTTTAGACAGAACGTAGATGATAAACTGTCTTTCGATTAATCTTTCACCGTCGGAAGCCGCTTATCCTACCGCAGTCCGTCGTTTCCGGTCGGAGGCCGACCATACCACAGCGGGTCGCTTAACATTATAAATTTAATATTGCCGGGAGCGAGCGTCTCCCGGCCGATTGTCACGGAAAGAAGTTGTGTAAAGCACTTGGACAGTCACAAAGTTCTCAAAAATAATTACGAGATTACGCGTTCGCATGCAACGTCCGTGTGAGATGGCGACTTTGTGCGCGGACAAGGCACTGCAAAGCAAACGTAGACTGACCGGTGGAAGTCGATCGGTTTCAGTGTTCAAGTTTATTAACCACTTCTCTGTCAAATTATTTTGTCAAAGAGAGTTCAAAAAATATCGGGTTTTTTTTTGTTACTATTTTTTATGATACTGCCCGAATATACTCGGGCAGGGAAGTGGTTAGCGGCTGGAAATTTTTTGCCAAAACATTCCCTCATGAATTATTTTTTTTAATTGCTCCAAATTAGATGGGAGTAGATTTATCGAGAGTGAAAGCTTGAGAAAAGATTAATTAAAAATTCACGGAGTGAAGTTAATCAGGTGAAATTGGTATTAAAATCCGAAACGCTTCAATCTCAAAAATATGGCGATTGTGTAATTTGCAACTTCTCGATCGGAGATATCATTTCGCGCGATAATCCGCATTCGAACTGCGATTGCAATTGTAGCTTCGAGTGTTCGTCCAACTGCGCAAAGTGCATCACTCGAACGTCGCCAAGCAGAATAGATAGTTCGCAAAGACAAATGTTTCAATCTGGAAATCGTTCTCTCGTTGTCGCAAAAGCGTTATCCAACTTTTTATCGATTGAGACTCGCTCCATCAGTTTACCACCCACTTCAATGCGACGAAACTCGTTGAAGAATATCAAAGATCGTCGAGGAATATTTTAAAGAGTCCTCGTAACTTGAAATATTGTGGAAAGTAATGTACCGGAAAACCTCCTTACAACGGCGACATTAGAGTCCACGGCATAAATTTGTATTCATTATCGAGACACTTTAAACCGAGTACACTCGCCGAGATTTCATCCAGACGAGTGCGTTCTTGTTTAGTATACAATGATTTTTTTTTCTCAAGAAATAGACTCGATAAGATTCTTAGCAAACAGACGTACATGTTTTCTTTCTTCTAGATATATCCGCTTTTTCTAGATTATGACTTCTCTATTTTACATCGAACACACACACGTATCTCCACATTGAAATTTTTTGCCGGCACCTGATATTGTTTATGCACGTATATCAAAGAGCAAGGTAGAATTATTCTCGAAGTCGAAATGTGCACACATATACGCCATTTGATTTGCCTCTTCTCGATCGAGCAAATCGTCGTTACGAGTGCCTCGTCATAATATTATTACGCTTTTCATTATCATGTCTTCTTACGACACGCAATGTCACCTTTGCTAAAACTTTACATATTTTATGAATACTTAAACACACGCACACACGCACACACATTGTTACACAGTAAAGACAATAAAACCCAATAAAACCGCTTTTGCCCGCCGACTTGGAGTCGTGTATCGAATGCTATGCAGATCATTCATTCTCCCATTCTCGCATCAATCTTTCACAAATGCTTGATCTGTACGCTGATTCCGAACGCAGACTGCTTCGTACAGCGTTCGGCGTCTCCTGCAACACTGCAATCCTTTTCCTCCTCGCGCGATTAACCCAGATCAGACCTCAGGCCTCATCAGCCGTCGCCGTTAAAGGCGTCGCTGGCATCCAGATGATTGTTATCCGGCGTCGTGGCACCCCGGCCGGGTGCCAGCAGCCACCCTCACGTCTTCGTGAACTTGTAGACCACACCGAACACCAATATGCTCACCAACATTAGCACCATTGCGGTCACCACCTTCGCGATGGTGTTCAGCCCGCTCTCGGTTGGCTGCTGCGATCTGGTTGACATACTCTGCTTAGCGGCGAGGCTACGCGCCAGGGCGGGAAAGGCCAAGCTCTGAGTAAAGGTCAGCTTGTGAAGGGACTCTGACAAAGAGTATGGTCCCACGGAGCCGCGAGCCGCCGCCCTCAGCAAAGCGTACTCCAGGTCCAGTGCGTCGAACGTGCTGTACCTACTGGATGAAACATGAAAATGTTTGATCAGTTTCTGCCTGTTGTAATTAATAATATTATTCGTCAAAATGATTTTATTTAATCACAATTGCATAAGCTATTAATGGTAGTTTTCCACCAAGAGACACAAGCGACACAAAATGACACAGTGTTTGACACAATGTTTTCCTACAACGACACAGCTCGACACAAATATACACAGCTAAAGAGGTGAGTCGAGGTGATTTGTGTTCAATTCATGGCTGCCAATTATTTGACAAACTTAGGGAAATTTCAAGTTGTAAAAGTTGAAACACCATGTATGTAAGTAATAAAGGCAAAAACATGCAAATTGTTGTAAATTAATCTATTATCGTTATTCATCTAAAAAATTAGAATATTTAATTTAGTTTTTTACAAAATAAAAAGTAATAGAGGTTATATTTTATGTACTATATTATTTTATGTACTATATTATTTTATGAAAATTGCGAAGTTCAAAATTTATTTTTGTAAATTATACTTACTATGCAATTAAAGCAGATGTACATATACATATGAGTAAAATTTCAAGAAAAAATTTACTATAGAACGCCAACTATAGCTGTACTAAGAATTATAATGTTCCAACAAGCGGCTTCACACAACTGTTTTGTGCCTGACACTGTGTCTATTTGTGTCTCATTGGTGGAAAACTACCAATACTGTCTCAAAGATCAGGAGACACGGTAGCGTCTCGCGCCAAGTTCACGCGTGTATCTTTACGCGAGCCCGAAAGTTGAGACGAGCCGAGATTGTCGGATCTCAATAACGGCTGGGCCGATTGAGTTGATAATAGGCTCAATCGATAGCGCATACCCGAATTATATAAGAAAAGTATGCTTGTTTTTACTGTAGGTGCTGTAGAAAAAAAGTTATAAAAGTCTAAAGTCGAAATGTTGAAATAATTGTCTTTTCTAGTATACATTCACGGCAACAAGACGATTGATATCATGATTTTTTCTTCGTTCGAGAAATTTTGCAATTTTTCAGGTGATTTCTTTGTGTTATCAAAATAATGTTATTTATTTCAATTATTTTATTTTATTGATTCATTATTATATTATATGCCATAATATTAATTTTAGCGTGTAATTTAATGGGTCAATTAAAAGTTGCTATTTTTTTCTTTCCTTTCATTTTTTTCCCTTTTGTATTTTAATGAAGATTGAAGGATGAACGCAACAATTCCAGTATAAATTTTTGATCAAAGCACATGAGAACATAAAAGTTGGATCCTATCGAGATAATCCAACGTCTTGGCCATGTACGACGTCCCGCTCACTCGCGAAATTGCGAGACCTACTTAGCAAAAAAGAAAGGAGTTAAATTTGGATGCGGCCGATCTCTATTGAAAAAAAGAGCAATTTTCTGAAGACCCTCGTCGTAGAAAGGGACTGCTCGGCATTTACGTCGCGAACCCGACGTATAAATGCGAGCAATTCCGCCGCATATATACACACGCGTACGTGCATACATACACGCGCGATATCGACGTTGTGTACGTTGCCGCCATACCTTCCGTGTGTTTGCATCGTGTCAAGGTCGTTCCTTGACACGAGCCAAGACTAAGTCCGATATTGAACGCGTGTAAATATGATAGATTATTCCTGGCGTTCGGATCTCTGGGACCTTGCCTGCGCCGCGCACAGCCGGCCAAGGATAAGGTCGATCGCCTCGTACGCGAGCAAAACATTTGCGCCCAATAATTTCTATACACATAAAACTTAATTTCTTCCGCATAATGCAAAATATGTTTAATATTTAATTTAAAAAATTTTTATTTCTTGCTAGACTAAATAACATGTTAATTATTTGTATTATAATTTATGTTAAATAATCCTTTGTGTTAATTATTTATTAGTGCAATCAAATATTCTGTAACTGTATATGTACTGTTAAATTAATAGTAATATTACACAAATATATATATATATATATATGTGTATAATATTAAATTAAAAAATATTAAATTAAATTAAATTTGGCGCTAGTTTCTCTTCACATATTTTGCAGAGATACATTGAAACAGCATTGTTTGGTGTGTGTATAATAATGTTCCGAGCGCGTGTACTTGCTATCTCTTTTTTTACCTTTTTTAAGCTGCTTTAATAGATTCTTTTTACGTCACGTAGTTGTTGTGCTCTATTTTAATAAAATTTGCTTTCTTCTCTGTTGGTGTCATAAAAATAGTGCATTTTGAACTACTTAAATTGCGACGATAGATATGCAAATTTATTCACGGATGTGTGAATCATAACGCTTTGTCTTAATAAGACCTTTCATCTACTTTATTGTTTGGCGTTATTAAGAAAATAGCGCATCCCTTTCTCTCTCTCTCTCTCTCGCTCTTTCTCTCTTTCCCTCTCCTTCCTTCTCTCTTAGACCACTCGAATTAAAGACGTCTTTCTTTCCCTTCATTTCTTTCCCTTTTAACCCAAACAGGACCTTCTTATATTCACTATATTGGCGATCAATCAATAAAATAACGCTCTTGAACCACTCCGATTGTAGCACCTCATTTTTGGCGCATTTCCTTTCGCACGAATCGTCGTTCAATCTAACGTGAGCAAGACCATCTATTCCACCATCGGCATTTTTAAAAAAATAAACGTGCATCGAACACTTTAATGATAGCACTCCCCTTTCGCGTAAATAGTCGCTCTCATCTCACAATAAACAAGACTTTTCTACTATTGTCATGTCAACAAAACAACACTTGAAACTCCACTTGCAGTACCCCAGCTTTCATGCTTTTTATGAAATTTTACAATTTTAACTAATTTGAAATTGTGAAGCATTATCCTCTGTAGAACGATTCTTTACAATTTCATAAGCACGTCTCTTATATCATTTTTGCAATAAGTATAGTGCAAGTTGCACATTTCTAAAACAATCTATAAAATTTGCTATAAACAGTATAAATAAAGTTCTTCCTTATATATATACTGTCACAGACAAATAAAATCTTACAATCATCGAAATTAGTTTGATTAGTATAATCGTAAATAGTGTTATTTTTTTTATCACTAATTTCATCTAAATAGAAGAATATTTTTAGATCTAAATAGAAGAAAATCAATCAATTTAGTGATGTTATCAATATCATATCATTAAATATTATAATATCAGAAATATTGTATGAATTAGAGATCTTTTATTATATATATATAATAAAAGATGCTGCGTTTGTATTACTAATTCAATCTATTTACCATAATTATATTGTCATCTCTTATCTATCAAAATAATACAGATAATCAAAATTTCATGATTAATGATAAATTATAAATTACTAATGAATTTACCCATGATATTATTTATTATTGAAAAAATAAAAATAAATTTTTAAATTCAATAATTTAACACGAAGATATTAAACTGTCAGCTGAAGATCCCAGATAAAACGTAACGAGAAAGAGTTAAATTAATTACCCGCTGCTACGTCTCCTGTCCTGAAGATCCTGCTGAATCGATACAATCGCCGAACTCGGCATCGATCGCAGGCTGCTGGTGGTCGAGTTGGAAGGACTTGGCGGCCGACCCTCTTGATCCTCGTCCACGGACGTTCTGTCCGGCGACGGCGGACTCCTTAATCCTATGTTATGATGGTTGTGGTGCAGGTAAGGGAGGTGCAATCGCGCGTCATCCGGATGCAGCAGGCTGGTGCGACGCGACTGCAGCGGCGTCGTTAACGGACTATTGCAGATGACACCGCATGGTGACGGCGACGCCTTCAACATGGATTAAAAGAAAAATACAATATTATTACAACATCGACAACAACGAAATGTAGATATCAATTCATAAGAAACTTCTCGCAAAAACGTGATTCCGCGTGAAAAAAAAAAAGAAAAAAGAGAACTCATTCTTACGTCCTCGATAAAGTCAAGTCGTGGCGTATGAAAAGCGTCACGCGAGAGGTTTGTTTTTGATTAACGCAAGTAGATAAAAGTTATTTATTTACACGCCCGGAGATTCAATGCGGAGAAAGTAGTATCTGATAAAAGGCGCACCTGAGTAGATTCAATACCGCTATCGTTGATGTTCTCCTGCGTGTCAGGGAACACAAAAACCTGACCCTGTTCATCGGAGTCGGCTCGGGGCGAGTCGCTAGGCCATACTTGAAGAAGGGGAAGTCCTTTGCGCGTCTCGTTGTAGACTTCGGCAACGACGACATTGTCGCTCAGCTCCTTCAATGGCTTCTGCCAACCGATATACAATGTTGTTTTATTTTTAAAGTTCACTTTTAGAATTATCTTTTTCTTTAATAAACGGAATTTTTTTTTCAAATAAAATCGCTTTTTTCAATAACATTGAACTCTTTCTTCGTATAAATTTGCCCACGAATTTTATGGTCAAATAAAATGCGCGCTACAGAATATTCTAAATATAAATATATATAAACGAAAAAAGATTTAAATTTTATTGCCCGGCGTGTACTTGAAACTGTATGTATTGGCTCTAAATGTTAAGGTGACACGAGCAAAACTCCCGGCCGCTTTTAGTTACTCAATGACTTTCGATAATAATAAATATAACGCCGCTAGAAACTACATAATGTCGCCACGGTACGAGACAAATATTTTCTGCGTTCGCGCCGCATAAAAGATCCTTCACGGCTGAATATTAGCGTGTGAAATATTTTTAGCTACGGTCGCGTTTCAAGAGCAAATTAATCGATGCGATATTTAGCTGTTTCAGCATCCAATCTCGATAAAAATGGAAAAAACAGTGATAAAAATGACGGATATCCGAGAGTGGATTTTTTACTGAAACAGAGAGATGCTTCCGTAGATTTAACGTAATTGATTGTTCGATCTTATGCTGTTATGTACACACGTATTTAATAATTGCTCTTGTGTCAAGTGTCAATGATAAATTAAAATTTCTGTGTGATGCGCTATTATTAGCGCATTTGTCACGGAATATCATGCTTGTCGCTACTTATCGATCATTTGCATATAATTCTATAAATTATGTTTAACGTAATATCAGTGCTGATTATACTAATTGTCGTAATATGCGACTAATTACAACTGAAGTATAAAGTCTCTCGGTAAATTCCACAGAATTAATCCTCGCAAAATTAAGGTTGCAATTAATGAATTAAATTTTAAATAGGAATAAAAACGTCATATAAAATATTGGAAACTAACATGTGATTTCTAATCTTCTACTCTTCCGAAACAAAATCACAAACAAAAGAGTTATATTCTGCGGGGTGATTCGCGTAAAGTGTTACAAATTTACAATTTAACTTTGAATTGATCAAACGGTTTTGGAGCTGTAAGAGGTAACATTCTTCATAGGTCAAGCTGTACATCTTGCTGTAGATAGAACGCTTTGCATTTTACTGACATAACTCGGATGACATAACTCGGATCCTGGAGCTAGAACAATTAATGTCATTGTGCGACTCGCGTGTAGCAAAAAAGAAAATGTCATATGAAGAAGGAACAATGATTTATTCATTTTCAGCCTGCAGAATGTGGCACCGATTATTCTATTATCTCATTCAGTTTTATATATATTATTGATTGCGAATTAAAATTAAACACGGCACAGACATATTTTTATAAAAGTACCGGTTAAAGTTAAAATTAAAGTTTTTATTAAATTTATTAAAGTTTACCAAAATAAAACGCGAAGTATAATCTCAGCTAGGATCTTTTCTAGTTAATGATTCTTCAATGAATTATTATTCTTGCCCTTGCTCGTGTCTCACCTTCGGCCTTTTCGCGGCGGCTTATTCGTCGCAAGAGCTCCCTATCTGTCGATCGAGTGATCTGATTTTATTAAACCTGTGATGGTGGACACACAGCGTGGATAATAATAATATGCGGTTTAAAGTTCAGAATGTCTCGCATATCATCGTGTGCGAGTGTCACAGTCACGCAGGAAAGCGCTCTCGCATCCACCGACAAGCAGGGGGATAAACGGCTCGTTGGTTTCCGGTGCGGCAAGCTCGCAAAGGTCGCCTAGCTGTACAAAAAAGCGTCGAGAAAAAGCAACGGCTGTAGAGAAACATTGCGAAATAGATCGATAAAGCGCGAACGATAGGAAGTGCGCCGCTGAAAAAAAAAATGCGATACTCGTCGAGAATTTCGTATCTCTAATTTTCAATTTGTCCGTGCGGAATAGTTTTATATCACACACACACACACACACACACACGCGCGCACGCGCGCCGACGAACTTTGTATGTCAATCAATTGAGTAACTTGAGTAATTTTTCGCGAATAAAAACGACGACTAATTAATTATTTATATGCTAACGACAGAAGTATATAACGACATCAAAAAAATTTGTCAGCATATTTTAAACCTGTTTGGTAAAAACGAATTAATATTTATTGTATATAAATGTCACAGTCTATATTCTTTCAGTAGCTTTATTTTTCTAATAATATTTTAGTAATAATAAAATTTTCTATAACACAGAGGTAAATGTTTGTAGTTTCTCGAGCTGCTGAAATAAAATCCGAAAGTGACTACAAGAAAAAACTGATGGAAATATTGATATTTTATTGTTATATTTTATTATATTTTGAAATATCCGTTTACCTTTGCAAAACTATAAAGGATAACGTTTTAAATGCCTTTTCACTGAATGGGAATAATATTTCCAATGCTGTTTCAGTGATCCAATTGAGAATAAAAGTAGCGCCAAGGGTTGGCTAGCGAAGAGTACGAAACAGATCGATAACGCGTGAGCAGGAAGTGTGTCGATGACATGAGACCCATACCCGAAATATTGTTCAAAGAAACCGGGACATGACATAAAACTCATAATTATCGCTACATTTACAGAGAGAAAAAATATTTGCTGCGCAGATTAAATGACAATCGAGTTTGTTAAAAGGATTAATAAAAGCCGAAAAACACGATTGTCACGATAAATTCGTCGGAAAAAGCACATTTAATCATTAACTTTAAACGTTTTAAATCTACATCGGATTCTTTTTAATGAGGAAAAACTCGCAATATAAACTGTAAAAGTCAAGAGAATTGCGTATTGTAAAATGAACACAAAACAATACGTAATTGCAGTTGCACGCGCATTTTGACATTTAATCCAATTTTTTAGCGCTTTGCAAAGTTTGTAATCGAAATTAAATTTTGGTCTAACAAATAAATGAATTTCATTTCCATGGGAAAACCTGTCTAAGTCTGTGTCGAAAACAAAAATATTGAAACCGCGTTGCGTGGTTTGTGTGTTTTTTTCACCTTGATTCTTATTCCACGCAGTTCTCTAATGTTTGCGGTAAAATGCATCAAATATTTTTTATTGTCCCGCGGAATAATCTTAAGTCACGCCAAAGGTCGTAATGAGGAGAAGGCACGTTGCCGCAGTAAAATTAGATCGTTAATGCAAAGACTCCTTTACGAGCCTAAAGTACGAGTTCAATTTTGCTGTGATGTCGCAGACGTGAACTTCTTTCCGGTGAAAGTAATCAATCGAAGCCGTGAAATCGCGATATGAATTCAATCGGAAAAAGAATTACCCTCCTTCTTGCTCCGAAGTAGATCAGATTTTGCGATTCGTGTCATATTACGCGTCTGACGATCGCAATCCGTCGCACGTACGGGCCAATATATGCGCGCATTGTGCGAATATATCACTTTGCATTACGTCGCATTTAAACGCAACTTGTGCCGGACCTGCAAACGTTTCTTTTTCTTCTCTTTCTTTCCCTCTCGCGTTGCGGAATTTTCGCCAAATGCGAAGCACTACGCGTTAAGCGAGACGCGTGTGCCTGGCGACATTCCAAATTGACCAATGGAAAAGCCCGCGATAAAGCGTGCGGAGATGCGCGGCATTGTATCTGTGCAGAGTTTCATCCTCGCTTTGATTAATCTTCGAAATCGACGGATCTGATTAATCCGTGGAGTCGCGGAGTCTGTAGTCGACAGAACACCCGCCGTTCTCTCGCGGGATATTCGCCAATCTTGACATTCGAATCATTCTTCCAGCAGTCGCTTCCAGAAGTTTCCAAACTTTAAAAGTCACTCGTGCCGGGCGATCCCGCGACAAGTTAAAATGAATTGTATCGTGCCGCGTCTGTTGCTGCGGAAGCATTGCGTCTCGAAACTTCGTAATGCATTTTCCACGATTTAATCTAGCAAAACCATGAAACGCTGCGATAAAAAATAATACCGCGTGCACCACGCTATTCCCAGCGCGATTAGAACTTTCGTTCCGCCCGCTAATCCACCCCTTGATAATATGCGGCGCCCTTACGAAATTGATATGTTTCGCGGACTTTTGGTACTCGCGCGCGTTTTCGCTTCATTGAAAGGTATCGCGTGCACGCCACTTTTCGCAAATGCGATTCATTAATTAGCAACCGTGTAGCATTCACACTTTGCGTCGCTAAGTACAATTGGACGTCTTACAGAGCTACAATAAAGCTAATGGAATTAAAAATATAATGCATATACTAATAATTTTCTCTCAAGTTCGAAACGACGTATCTTACGATCGTTAAAAATGAATTACGATGACTGATCAACGCAAGAAAGTAGCCATTAATAATATCCGGAATGGAATCGATTCACATAACTACATTAAGAGACACTTTTGTTCGTGACCGTGACTGTAAGATCTCGTCTTTTTATTTGGCCTTGGCACAGAGCGGTCGATGAAAGCAAGAAAAAAGGCGCGGAGATCGTTTTCCTGGCACGATGCTTGCCTCGATTAAATGAAAAGACTCTTGTCTCGGAACTGCAATACTTTTCGACACTTTTCCCGGCACATTTATGGCATACGAAGATCCTTTCAACAGCGAACACGCAGCCATTTTGCGAATATCCGACAGATTAATTTTTGCTTGATAATTTTAATTAAATCTGGTTTCAGTGCAAATATCTGTGTTAGAATACATTATATAATTTAATTTAATAATCTTGTCATATTTTTATAATTTTATGCCTAGCTAGTTTCCTTTTTTTTAATGTAAAAGCTAAAAAATGAGCTAATTAAAAGAAATCGATAGAGAATAAAGCAAAGTAAATTAAACAAAAATTTAATAAGGCAGCCACACCTGCTGTTATATTAATCTTTCGAATTTCTTCGGTCGTTTTACAGCGTCACGTTGCTCGTAAACTGAATCCAACAAGTCTTCGGTGACGGTCATCTCCGTGTAGTTCAATTCAATATACAAGGGATATCGTAAAATCCCAGAAACGTGAGGGATAAACTTGAAAGAAAAAGTACGCGGCGAAGTAAAATTATTGGATGCAAAAGGTGATACAAAATATATAAAAATAAAATGTAGTTAAGTGATTAGTTTAAAAAATGTATATTCAAAAGATTCAATTTGTATTTGAACGATAACTCTTATTTCTGTAGTTTCCTTAATAAGACTATTTACAACGCGATGGAAATGCAGTTGCTTAGTCTCGCCCGACCCACCTGTATGCTTCTCGCACAGTCGAGTCTCGTTTACGAGATGCGACGAGTTCTCTCGCAGCGACAAGCGATCAACATTTTTACTAATAAACGTACCCACCGAATTATATTTTCTCATTCCGACAGCTCATCGAATATTTTATCGCACGGCTCCATCACATCACGATCACATAAAAAATGCATTTGCACTTTTTGACTGCCAGCGAAACGGAGAGCAGCGCAGCTGCGTGCTCCTCCATAAATCACGTATCTTCCATAAATCACAATATCGCTTCAAGATCAAATTGAAAAGGAAGGCTAGCGAGCTTGGACGCGTGTGCTCCTCCGAGTCGCGACGGCTACACGAGTCCTGCGAGTCCTCGCTCGGGCGAAACGGGCCGCGGCGGGACCGTTGCGGCGAGTGGGCCTTACCTGCTGCTCCTGACGCTTGCACGCCAGAGGATCCCGGCATGATCCTCCGAGTTGTCCGTTTACTTGGTCCAGGATTACGGTGGGGCTCTCGCACGCTCGGTCTTCCTCGAGGTTCGAACTGCGACTGGATCCGGCCGCGCGCCACGAAGGCAGGACCGTGTACTTCGCCCCCGTGGGGGATCGCCAGTAGTCCGGCGCGGGAAGGGGTAAAAAGCCAGGTGGAAAGTGGGCGAAGGGGTTGTTTTTGCCATGCCGGTCCAGAGTAATGTTGGCGGCGAGAGAACGAGAAGCGGGCGGGGGAAGGGGTGAATGAGTCACATTGGCAGGTGAAAATTGGAGCACCGAGGCGCTCCGACGGCTGCGGCTTTCGTCCAGTTGAATTCTTCAGGAGGGGATTTTCGTAGAAAAAAGCTTGCACCTGCTTGTTATTCCGTTCTACTGAATAATTACAGAGTTCGCTGCATAAATCAACTTACGCATTGTGTGTAAGCCTGCTTACGTTACTGTAAAAACTTTATTTTTCAACTGGACTTTTTTTTATACACGGTAAATATAAATATTATTCATGATGATAAATAAAATTTATCGTTTGTCCGTTTGTTTTCTCTCTCTCTTTCAATTTATTCAGATATTTCTTTATTTTTAGTTCAACGTTATATGAAGCTATTTACGCTGTTATTTTTTACATAACTTTTTAATTAGTAAAATTAAAATTTAATTATGTAAAATAATTGTATTGATATGACAATTTTAATTAATATGATTGGAATGTCTAAAGATGAAAATTATTTTTATACATTAAGTTTGATTAAAATATAACAGTTTTCATTTTTCATTCGCTAATTGTATCTTCTCCGTTGTAGCCAGTTTGACTAATTTGATTAATTGTTAATCTACTCTTGTGTTCCAATTATATTTTTCAATTTTTAGCGTGCGCCAATTAAAATAATTGCGTAACAGATGAGAAATACGAATGATCCATCTCGATTAAAAGAGGATTAAATATATGTTTAGATTCTATGATACAAGAGCATGAAAATATTTTCCAATAATCGTGTAACATCTAATTTAGATCATAGTAATTTGCCGATTTTATCAAGTATAAATATTGAGTTCAATAAATGTTAATAAATATATATTTAAAATCTAAATATGTATGATTATCTCAATTTTGTAAAAGTATAAAAATATTTCCCAATAATTATGTAAAATCAAACTTTAATGATGTTTCGCCGATATCGTTCTATCGTCACAAAGTAAGTTTTGTGTCAAGTATTACTCGAGCTTTAAGAAATGTATTGAGTCGCGCGTCGATGAAAGTAAAATGGGGCACATTAAGTCGAATTTAATACCAAGCTCGAATTAGATACAGAAAAAAGTCTTGGAAATATAAATTCAAGCAAAAGATAAAAATGTAAGTCTACTTATACTTTTTAAGATGCAAAAACAAGGATTCATATTTTTTTTAAATAAAAAAATAAATGTAACAGCAAACGCAAAAATACAAATAAATGAATAAAAAGAAAAAAATAGATACAAAAAAGCAAATAATGCAGCGGAAGCGTGTTATGTTTCAATCGATATATCGATCGAAAAGCAAGATCGACAGATGTCAGAAAAGAACAAGAAAATTGTCTGAACTGGCATCTGAGTCAAATGAGGACAAAACACGAAGTCTCTTTACACGATTTACCTTCAGTATTAGAGAATATGTTTGAAAGTATCTCTTGACTCTGACAGAAGCACGAGCTTTGAGTATTCCGATAAATCGGAGGGTGACTGCACAAAAGGCAATAAGTGCTCGTTTTAGTCGTCGCTCTTGCGTGAGTCCTAATCCCGTTGACGGATTGCGCAGCGAAATTAACAAACGCGGAAAAACGTCGAGAAAAGTGCAAAATACGAAAAACAGTGCGGGAGAAAAGATGAAAAAGATAATGGAATGTGCTGTAGAAAACGAAAAGGATATGTGTGTGCGCGGCCGGGATAGACAGACGTAATTTATTATATCACGAGGAGAGCCCGTGAGAACCGACGCGTGTTGGATAAAAGAGCAGAATAATGCATCCATATGCTCGCACCAGGATTCACTTGGAGCGAAGGGTAGCGCCATTAGTATTGTCGAGTAAGGAATTGCGAATGGAGAAATGCTGGCTCGCGTATGGCGTGAACGTGATCGCGCTGCTTAAAATCGGAAAAAGGAAAACTCGAAGAAGGAAGTGCTCGCCGGACTGGCGCGGCAAGATTGCAGGACGACAGTGCGAATGTCGAGGGGAGGGAATTCACCGCGACCCAGCCGGGAGTGCTGAGCAACAAATGGTCGGCGGGACGGGATCGTTCGGAGAATGCGACCAGATGAGAGAAGACAATCTCGAAGCGAGAGAAGAAGAAAGCCGGAAAAAGAAGAAAACACGCGCAGATGACAGATGAGTACAAGCACGCGACGGGCAGAAAAAAGGAAGAATCTTCCTTGCAATCGGAAAATGGATAAATAATCGTACCGCCGCGAGACATCCCGTCCGCGTATATCGTTGCGACAAAGATACGGAGATCGTTTCGTCGCTATTCGGGGTCGGCGGTTTTTATCTCACTTCCGGACGACATCCGTCGACACGGTTAGATGCAATTCGCCGCGAGCACCCGATTTCTCGATCTATCAGCTTCAATAATCGGCACAGCCCTCGAGATCGCTGGACCATCGCGATGCGCGAGGGGACGCCGGATCGGATCAGCATCGCCGGCCACAGGTGGAGCGAGACGGAGCGAATCGGCGTGGGCGCAGGTGAGACGAGGACGGGATCGCGGCCACGCGAGGAAACCAGGAGGGACGAGGACGCGACGCCGGCGCGGCAGAAACCCCGTAGGTCAAGGTCATCGCCGGCCGCGCCAGGGCTGGCACCGGCCAGCGCTTACGGCCCTGGAAGTAACCACTCCTAACCACCGCCGGCGAGAGCCTCGTGCAGGACGATCTCTTCCGCGGCCCCCTTCACTCCGCTGAAATCGATATACCCACCTTCACCCATTTCCCTACAGCTCGACCGGTCGTCTCTGTGTGCGCAGGCAAAACAAGGCGCTCGGACGCTCCCGGATCCCTGATGCGTCGCGTAATGCGGCTGCAACGCAATTTGGCGGTGCACGCGTTGCTTATTATAACGCCACGACGATCGTGAGAGCGGTTGGTGGCTTTTGACGTCGCGAAAGAAAAAAAAAGAAAAAAAATGTTGAAATTAAATTATCGGACTTGTTTTTCGGGGTTGTATGTCATATAAATTGACTCGGCTCATCCGATATCAGCACGCGGACGAAGCGATCGGTACCGTAACGCGCGTCATGTTGCGCGATAGGTCCTTAGAGGCCGATCTGTATCCGCTAAATTGAATACCGGCAAGGACGCGCGTAGTCTCAAGACGATGCAAGAATTGACAGTCAAGGTCGCGCGATCGAAAAATGGGAGGATGAGCACCGACTCGGGGGTGTGCTTGTGAAATTGTGCATCGTTCACCGAGACGCTCTATCGATCATGGATGGATAAATGTGTCGCTTTGAGTTGATTACATGCGATCCACTCATCTTGACGTCGGTCATATTTCGCGAACCCGGCTAAAATTCTTATTCGCATCGATCGCTGCTTTCTGCAACGTGAGACGTGTATCGGATATCTTTATCGTTTAAACGTAAACCTTTCGCGGAGGAAATGTCGCGTTGCTTTTTATCGAATCATCCTCCGGCTTAATTTAAACATAGCTGATGCAATGATCGATGCAAGTCCGCGGAAGAATAACAGAGAAAGAAAGTGTAATGCTATGCGCTCCGAAGCCAGGTAGGATTAAGCGGAATTTCGCGCTTAGCAAGTAAGATTTAGCGAGGTCATTTTGTCAACTGCTCGAGTAAACTACGCATTCTGCAAGGTGTGCACATGAAACTCCTTCCCGTAAAACGGAACACGGGCTCTTGAATATTCAACAATACGTAATACTCGTAAAGGACTTCTATTTTCATTCGCTTCATTTGCAGGAAATATAAATAACTCCGCCTTGAAGACGTCGTTTCAAGGTATAATCGACAAAGTACCTTTGTGAGTAACTCTTAAACCTTGTTTGCATAAATTAAAAGTAGAAAAAGAAAATTAAAAAAATATATCGAGATAATTTCCCGATTTCTTGTCGGCAAAGTGTTCGCGTTTTGCTTATACATATTGCGTATTGACGTTGTTCAGATTCACATTCTTTATGCAGAAGTTAACCGCCGATCGATGAACTCGGCCGCGAGACGACATTATCGCTAACCGCGGCGCGTTTATTCGTGACATTATGTGAAAATTGCGGGACAGCAATATCCGTTCTAACGCCCTCTAAGGAATTGGAGATTTCGCGCTCTACTTTAATTAATTCAAATTGATAATATTGCGTGTTCGCGCACTGTGACTTGCGTGTAGGCATATGTAAGAACGCAAATTAACGTGCAAGATTTGATAAGTAATCAACGGAAAGTAATCACACTGAGGAAAGTGTGGTTGAAAAGTGTAACTCCAACAAAAAAAAAGAACATAGCAAAAATTTATGCAAATTAATGTTCACGCAGAATCGTCTATTCCTTTTTTAATTAATAAAAAATTATCACCGAGGCAAAATAAAATTTCAAAAATCAAGAGAGAACAATTTTCACGTTAATAAATTAAAAATTGAATTCGGTTAAATTAAAAATTAAATTCAGTTAAATTAAAAATTGGAAAAGAGAAATCTCGATGATCGATTCACGATAGCGCGGAGCGGTTATTCTTGATACACCCGATAATCCGACACTCGCGATAATCTGATTAATTCTTTCACGGATCCTGCATACATTCTATTTATCACATTTTATCTATACTTTTTACATATAGATCGTCTATCACCACGGCGACTATTCAATTGCTTCATGAATCGGCCGCTTTGTGATAAAGTAAATTTACAATTGACCAGCTCGATCGTCGCGGAAGTCGCGATCGACGATCGATGATCGACGACGCGATGTGCTGGATCAACGAGAGATGGAGACCGTAGTACAACAAGCGGCTCTACACGGTCTTCGCGAAGTGCGGCGAAGATCGGCAACGATGCTTTGGCCGCGGGCAGAGAAAGCTCTCCGCCTCGAAGGCTTCGTCGGCGCTTGGTCGCTGCTCTTGCCGTCGACACGCCGCGTACCGTTGCCTCGTCTTCTTTCCTTTCACTGTCGTGGCATATGTCACGTCAGGGCCGCACCGATTTGTTCCGAAGGACTCGCCTTTTCGCAACAATAAGGGACGACGAGAGTTCTTCTTGCCCAAGAATCGCTTCCACCTCGTCCGAAAATCGGCGTGAGAGACGCGACGGTTTTATAAAATAAGCATTTTGCAATCGATTTTCTAAGAATTTGCGTCATTTTTGGAAACTTGAAGCATCAAATTAAAGCTAAGATAATGCGCCAGAATTTCGAATTCTAATGAAACACGCGGCGCGAACCACTTTCCGGATCGGCAAGATTGAAAGCGATTACCAAACGTGTAAAATCGCATTCAAAACCATTCTATTTGCAGAGGATTAAATTATACACATTCATCTCCGCGCTGCATAGTGATTTCTTCACGATTATTATACTCAGTGCCATTATCATTGACATTTCGTTCCACTCTTTTTTAGAGCCATTCGCCGCGGCCAATCGCGCCGATCGTCACGCGCGCCTCACTTTGCGGCAAATTAATTTCGCAGTTGTTCGCGATAATTGCCGATGACGATCTCGCGGAATTTTCCCGCTGAAAGCAGCGCCGACAGCTCTATTCGAATGGACGGATCTGAAATGATTTACCGATAACGAGATCCTTCGAGGTCTCAACGCATCCTCGATGGATCATGGCGCTGGTCGCTTTCTAAGTGCAGCCCGGTACAAAGCAATCGCACTCCGCTCGACGATCGCAATTACGTGAATCATCGTCGTACTTAAAGACGCTGCCAACTCGAGAAAACGTAACCTGCCGTTCGAAATGGTTGAGTTGCATCCTCGCGTACTTCCTGCTCTCGCGAACGATCGAACGCGCTCGAGATCTCTGATTAGCGCCGATCCCAGTGGCGGAAGTCCATTGAAACGCTCGATGAGTTTTCTCGACTCGCGACGACGATTTAGCGTCGAGTGGTTACTCATCGAGTGGCAGAATTACCGGCGCTAATGGATTCCATGTGGTTGAATCGCACCGATCGATCGGCGCGCGTAACGGATAGAGGGAATCGCCCGAGTCACGCGCACACGTGCGGCGATAAGAATGTCATTAAGTCGCCGTAATGGGCGATGATAGCGCGCTTCGATACCGTCGCGCTGTCACTTAGCGCGCAAAGTGGCATTTTGCACGGTTTTATAGCCGGCAAAGGGCAAATTCCTGCGCGTAGAATCGCAATGGATTCCAGCGGCGGGCCCTGGCGAAACGTGTGCGTGCGATTGCATCGCGAAGAAGCGCGCCGCTATAAAGATCGAAATGGAACATGAAGAAACGATCGGTGGTATTATCAAATCGACCACTAATTCTCAGAATTTGTAGTAGTTACGGCAGCCGTGCATCAGGCCGAGACATACTTTCTAGCAGTTTCGAGTTTACTGTTCAGTGAACATTGTGTCCACGATTGCACCATATGGAGAAGCGTGCGATATTCGATTATTCGGCTGCAGGAATTGCGAGACGACCGGGCAAAATTCAGAAACGCTTTATTTGTTTTTTCTTCGCGAGGCCGGAACGTGTTATTCGTGGGCGTAGAAACCCTTGAGCGAAATTTTTAAACCGGCATAAATCTTTGAAAGAGAAAATGCAGAAAATAATGAAGATAAACCTGCGGGTCGAGAGTACTGACATTTCTTTTGCGAGTAAAAAACTTATAATTATATTCTGTACCCGCAGTTGTGCGTACAGCAACGCTCATATTTATGAATCATCAGGTTCAGCCATTGAATAAAACAACTCGGAATCGAAAAACGTGTGCACGATTGCACGTTGCTGCCGTGGAATAATCACGATGAGCGCATTCTTGTGCGCCCGAGCGCGCGCACAGGCCCACAAATGGAGTTTCTTCGCCGAGTCATCGATCCGAAACGCAAAGCAACTCGCGGAGCAGGGATCCACGGAGAGATTCGCGATTCGCCGCTTATTGGTATTTACCTCGGGCGGTGCACGCGAGAACGATGGCGCGACGACGATGGCGCAATAAGCGCGTGCGAGGAGCTGCGCGCGGCCCGTCCGCGCGGGCCTGTCCGCGAACGGGTCCGTCCGAAATGCCAAGCGAATCCTTGTCCTCTCTCTCTCCTTCTTGACATTTGTGAAAAAAAGTCCGGGTTTTATCCGGGACGGAGCGCCCACCGGAGATTACGACGCCGCATTGTGCCGAGGCGGCGCGCCAGCGTGGTCGCTTTCGAGAATTGATTGTGTCACGATATTGTGATATTTCGATATTCGGTCTGTCATTAGCACACCGGCGACCGGCGCGAGGCGACCGATACCCGGCTGCAAACGAGACTGCATCTACGATCGTTTCACTTTCGAGCGCGTATCGCGGCCGCCGTAACCGCAGATCCGCGCGGGACGACGGCCGGGACGAGCGGTAAACGCGTCGGCAGTAATGTTTCTTTACGTAAAATAATATTGTAGAGGAAAAAAAAAGAAGCAAGAGCATCGACGACGGCGAGGGACGGACGAATATCTTATTCGCTTTATTTCTCAGCGTTATGTAAAAATCTTAGGTCATCGTAGAAAGCTGCCGCGCGGTGCAGGCAAATTTTCGCGATTAATGATTGGCCTGGCGATTCCGTCGATTGGTCGTGATATAAACAAATATTACATAAAAACGCCCGATTGTCGGTGATAACATTAATCGTTCGCGCAACTTTCCACTAATTACGTACGAAAAGGTGCCATTTCCTACGGCTTTCATATCTGGCTGCCGCGGCGAGTTCGGTCAGATGGTAACTCTTGCTCAAAGCAGAGTTTGAAAAGCGGATTCCGACTATTTTCTAACTATTTTCATCCACGATGTCGCCAAAAGCGCCGGTGAAAAAAATTCATAAATACTCACGATGTCATAATCGCGGTTTCGAATCCGCAAATCAAACGCGCCGCGATCATCGTTTTGCTCGCTGCAACAATAAAGAGAATTCCAGCGGAATCAAAGGATTCACTCGGCTCGCGAGAAAACAACCGCTGGGGTTTAAAGCCGATAAACTAAGCGGCGATTAAGGTTTGCCTGGTTAAATCCACGATACGAGAGGCAAGTACTCGCACTCTCGTCGACGTCGCCTCGGCGGCGCCGAGACATGGTATTTTGATCATGCATTCTAAAGATCGAGGGATTAACGTACGCTTCCCTTAATCTCACTCGCTGAAACTTTGATTTATCGAAGAAGGTCGCCATTCCGTCGACCTTGACAAGCTTACGTCATTATTACTTCTCATCACTTTCTCATCTTGCAAATCGCAAATCGGTATACTATCCTCTCTTTTTATTTCTGCTTCGAGACTAGAAGTTTATATGCAACACTTCAAATAAGTATTCATCATCTTTGTCGATGAAGTCATTCCGCCTGTCGACCTTTCTGAATTTACAACGTTTCCAACAAAGAGATATATGGTATATTCACTGGCGCCATAAAGAAACATTCTACGTAACGATCTACTTTACGATCGTTTTATCATGCCCGCATAGTCGCCATAAATATTACGCATCGTTGATCTTAATTTATAGCTTAATTCGTAACTTCATTAATTAAGAGCAAGGATTAACGAGGATAAAATCAACGAAAATAACAGAGCGCGTGCTATTTCGTATGAGAATTTTCTGCGCATAAAGCATTTAAGAACCGGGAAGCAAGTTGCCACGGATACATCTCTTTAAATTCCGAGGTCGAGGACGTACTCTCGAATCTACTACCAATACTACAAAAATTATTGTAGCTTGCGTCGGGAAAATATTGACTGGTTGCTCTCTGCTACTTTCTTGCAAATAAATTGCTGACAATTATACATAAAAATATTTTAAAGATAATATATATAAATTTGTACAGCCTTACAGGATAAATGTCACATCCGTCACGTTAGATAAATTTATGTAAAATGAAAATATTGTCTTTGAAAATATTAATTTTAAACTTATTATATCACGTTATATTAAAGCGGACTTAATTAATAATAAATAATAGTATATAAAATAATTAGTTTATTTTTCTCAAACATCCAAAGACTGCAATCGCCGGGAGAACAATGGGATAACCGAAGGGCGCACAAGTGCCCGTTCAAAGTAGGAAGACGCGCGCGTCGTTATTCGGCCGGCCATCGATGCGCTGCTACGGGGTGTGTCGGAAAACCGGCGATTTCGATTCATACGTGCCTGTATCACGGCGGAGATACGGTCAACACGGGCGGCAATGCTCAAAGATGAGAAAGAGGGGACTCGATCCGGGGACCGTCGTGGTGGTGGCAATATAAGGCCCGACGAGTGGCGGGCCTCAGCCAGTCCGTGAGCGGTACCTACACCTTCCAAGGTCCGCGTCCTTGAAGGCTAACACGTCCCCGTTTGCCCTCCGCGTGCCGAAGAAGACGATCGTCTTTCGACGGCAGAGAGTATCAGTCGGATTTCCCTCGCAGCGACGAGGGGCCCCGCTTCTAGCGGCGCCCGATCCCCATCTTCTCCCACCGTACCCCGGAAATAGGTAAGCTGCGTCGCCACTCCACTACGCGATCGGTTCCCCTTCATCCCTCCCTGGCCAGCAGCGTCGGGTGAACGTCAGTCGAGCGGTAGTGATTGAGAGGTAAAGAGTTGGGTGATACTCTGAAAGCAGTTCGTGGCACGACGACGACGACGACGACAACGACGACGAAGAAAAGAAGTTACATTCCCCGTCGAGGGTCAGGACGAGTATGAGGTTCTCGCTAGTGCTGCTTCTGGCAGCAGCTTTCGTCCTTGCCGGTGAGTATCAGATTTCTCTGCCAACTTCAACTTAACTCTGACAACTCTCTCGTTGCCACATTACGCTTCGCTTTACGTTCATTCGTGTGTGAACACGTGTGCGTGTGTGTATCTGTGTGTGACTGTGTTTGTGTATGTGGGTATCAAATTCTCGCGGATGGCGATATGTGAGAGCTCCGCAGAGTCTTCCCGGTCGCGAAGCGCGTGAGAGCCAATTATTGTCTGAAAATCGTCTCACCTAAACTGAATGTCTCTGTTTAAATAATCGTGCCAATTATCCTTTGCCTTCCGCATCGTCTCCTGCACGAAACTCTCAAGAATTTCTGCAAATTTGGTTGTGTTAAAAATGATTTGCAATATAATACACAATTTATATATATAAATCTAATTTAAATTATAAATAATTAATAAGTACAAACATACATAATTTGATATCTTTGAAAAGAAAATAGAAGTAGTTTTGTACCGCAGAGAATGAAATATCCTTCTTACCGTTAATCAACTTCAAGGACTAACATACCAGGCGCGATTCAACCGAGAAATATCACAGATATCACACGAGATGGGCACGTGAGATCACATACAGTAGCAGAACCATTCAAAATGGCGAAAGTACCATTGCAATCTGGCGTATGAGATTTTCTATTCCTATATTTTTCTCCGTGAGGAAATTTCATGGTTTGTTCTTCTTCCACGTCGTAAACGAGACTTGCTCGTTGCGACAGGAAGAGTAATTCAATGTAACCGAGCTGATCATCGGGGCGACAGGTTGCATAAGAGATTAGAGCGTGAAAGCTCCTCGGTCCAGTCGGTCCCGGATGGGTGACGTCACTACCGTGCCGCGGGCGTCTGAAAATAGCGCGGGTGGGGGCACAACTTTCCCTGTTTGTCGCTTTGCCACAAAGTCTCGTCTCGCGAGCCCTGAGGACCAACGGATCCAAATGGATTCATCTAATCGACTATTTCATCAAATATTAAGCGGAGGAAAAGCACCTGTGAAAAGCAAATTTCCAATTTCAATTTCTAAAGTATCCTGAGCCTCGAAGAAAACAAATCTCGTCTCTTTACATCATTTTTTCCAAGAAGTACAAACCTCTTCCTTATAATAAAAGAATTATAAATTTATTAGCACAATTAGATAATTAAAAGACGACTTTTATCACTTTAAAATTGTGTTAGGCGAAAGTGTTTACTGTAATTTGCTTTCCTACAAAAATAAATTAATTTTGTTAAACTCTAAAAGAAAATAATCTGCATTTGTTGGAATCGATGTCGCAATGTAATTAATTGCAAAGATAAAATCTCTATCACGCCGCGAATCCCGCGATGTTTTGCAGAGAGTTCGAGTCGAGTTAAGCGACAGGACGACAAGAAAGAGGAGAGCTTTGAAAACGAAATCTGCAAGGACAAGGATGCGGGCGAGTGGTTCAGACTGGTCGCCGGCGAGGGTGACAACTGCCGCGACGTGATTCAATGCACGAGTTCCGGCCTGCAGGCGATAAGATGCCCGGCCGGTCTTTACTTCGACATCGACAAGCAGACCTGCGATTGGAAGGACTCCGTTAACAATTGCAAATTGAAGAACAAAGAGAGGAAGGCCAAGCCCCTGCTTTATACCGAGGAGCCGCTCTGCCAGGATGGCTACCTTGCGTGCGGCGACGGATCTTGCATCGAGAGGGGTCTCTTCTGCAACGGAGAGAAGGATTGTGCCGATGGCTCTGATGAAAACATTTGCGGTAAGTCAGCAAAGTATATATTTCTAGAAGAAAAAAAAACAAAAAATAAAAAAAAAGCTGAATTTTAGAATATTTAAAGAAATTTTGGATTTCGGAACAATCGCGATTTCTTCGATGTTCCAGACATGGACAATGACCCGAATAGAGCTCCACCTTGCGACCCCGCTGTGTGCGTCCTGCCCGATTGCTTCTGCTCGGAGGACGGTACGACGATACCCGGCGACCTCCCGGGCAAGGACGTGCCTCAAATGGTCACGATAACCTTCGACGACGCCATCAACAACAACAACATCGGCCTTTACAAGGAGATTTTCAACCCCAAGCGCAAGAACCCGAACGGCTGTGAAATCAAGGCCACCTTCTTTGTGTCGCACAAATACACCAACTACTCGGCCGTTCAGGAGATGCACAGGAAGGGCCACGAGATCGCCGTTCACTCAATCTCGTAAGAATTGACTCTTTCCTATTAGCATTAATACCGACCATTTTTCTCATTTGACATTTCAATGTCACCTCGACTATTCCGCCTAAATTCGTCGCGGAATCAACACGACGGGATCCACTCGAGTGCGAGATCCCGGAGAAAAACAGTTTCACGCGCTCGCAAACTGGAGAACAGGTTCACGAGTACAGGTACCTGCGATGCGATCACGTCGCTCACCACCATAGTCATAATTTGTTAAAATCCGAACACACTCACCGCATAAATGTTTACATGACAACTTTGGGGCAAGGCACAACGACGACGAGCGCTTCTGGTCGGACGCGACGGTGGACGACTGGGCCAAGGAGATGGCCGGCATGCGAATCATCGCCGAGAAGTACGCCAATTTGACGGACAACAGCGTGGTCGGCGTACGGGCGCCGTATCTGCGCGTGGGTGGCAACAATCAGTTCACCATGATGGAGGAACAGGCCTTCCTTTACGACTCCACCATCACCGCGGCCTTGAACAACCCGCCTCTGTGGCCGTACACCATGTACTTCCGAATGCCGCACCGCTGCCACGGAAATCTGCAGCATTGCCCAACCAGGTGAGCACCCTGGCGAATCCTCTTTGCGCACGACACGTCTTATCGTTACATTTCTCAATTTTCCAAATCAAATTGTCACAAGTGGTGAAAAAATGTATAACGTCAAATGTGTTTGACGAATGCTCGCAGGTCGCATGCCGTGTGGGAGATGGTGATGAACGAGCTGGACCGGCGCGAGGATCCGCAGAACGACGAGTATCTGCCCGGCTGCGCCATGGTGGACTCGTGCAGCAACATCTTGACCGGCGACCAGTTTTACAACTTCCTCAACCACAACTTCGATCGCCACTACGAGCAGAATCGCGCGCCCCTCGGCCTCTACTTCCACGCCGCCTGGCTGAAGAACAACCCCGAGTTTCTGGACGCCTTCCTCTACTGGATCGACGAGATCCTGCAGAATCACAACGACGTCTACTTCGTCACGATGACCCAGGTGATCCAGTGGATCCAGAATCCGCGCACCATCACCGAGTCGAAGAACTTCGAGCCGTGGCGGGAGAAGTGCGCGGTGGACGGCCCGCCGGCCTGCTGGGTGCCGCACACCTGCAAGCTCACCTCGAAGGAGGTGCCCGGCGAGACCATCAATCTGCAGACCTGCGTGCGCTGCCCCAACAATTATCCGTGGGTGAATGACCCGACCGGCGACGGTTTCTTCTAAGCTGCTGGCGTTCCCTCTCGAGATCCCTCCGTCTCGTCTAAGTCATTTTCCCTCCCCTTCCCCTTGCTCCTGTTTCACCCTTTCCCCCCCCCCTCCCCCTCATGTCGGTCGAAAATGCGTCCTTGCGGCCCAATGCGACGCCGATGGACGCGCCAACCAAGTATCCTCGAGACTTTCGAGAGCAACGACGATTGCAACGATGAGGCACACGGGAGAAAAGAGGAGAGAGATGTGTCATTAATCTGTTAGACTCCGGCGATCATTCTAGTTCAATATCTCGCTGTTTTCTTTTTTTTTTTTTTTGGAGAACGATGTATCTGTGATGATTAGTTCTGCTCAGTTAGAACGCCGCGGAGTCTAACGGATTAGAGACAAATAAAGTTCTCTGCCCATTTTCACAAACGTACCTTTGACGTTCAGCTTCAAGATGACATCCTGAAAAATTTGCGCCGCGCGCCGTAAAAAGGGGGAAAAAAAAAATTATTACCTTCTTCGCAGAACTCGGAAAAATCGCAATCCTTTTTGCGAGCGTGCCTCGTTATCAACTGGTGGTTAAAGCTAAACGTTCATCGTGTGCCAGCAGCCTGTGATAGACTCCCGAACGCTGACGTCCTCAAAGTCCTCGAGGCGGCAACGACCATGATGACATGACGACGACGACGACGAAGACGAGAGCCGCGCGCATTCCATTCTTGAAACGGCAAAAGCAAAATGTCGCGCCCCACCGCGCAAATCCCACACGAGGAGAAATCGCGGATCCTATGATTCGACCGGCGATCGGCGATCCGCAAGTGGGATTCCACACGTGTAATATAACCGTGTTCTCCCCTCCCCTTCTCTCTCTCTCTCTCTTTCTCTTTCTCATGTACTTCCGATTCCCCGATCGAAAGCCGCGCGACTGATATCGATCTGTCGGCGAAGCGCGCTTTCTTCCCGTCGAATTTCAAAAGCAAATTCTCGAAGACAGCCAAATCAATTTGTTCCCCGATTCGAGGCGGATCTTTATTTTTTTAAGAGCCCGCTGATTTATATAAATATAAATATATAAATATATATATATATATAAATTTATATATATGTGAAAATTATAAGTATTGCGTATGTATATTTGTAAAAGTAAGTGATACCAACATAGCGATTCTCGACGAAGCTTGAATAAAAGATTCTGAGAAACTCCACACACGACGGCACCTGTTTCATTCTTTATTTTCTCCTGACTCGCTCGCCGTCATCATTCATCGTGCGGTAATGAGATGGAAAGTGGGGCGCGTTTAGGCCCCCGCAAACTTGACCGCCATACCGGACAGGGAAATTCGCTTCTAAGACGCAGGAACGGCAGGAATGAAAGCGCGGGCGGACGGAGATTCATTCGTTCATTAATTCTCTCATTATACACTTGGTTGATATTAACTGCGTCGCCGCGAGATTTCAAAGCGCGTCCGTCCCGGAGTTAACTGGAATTAATGTCTCTCATTAAAAATCCCGCGATACAGGCATGTTGCGAAAAAGGCGCGCTTCCGCCGCTGCACGCCTTTATGTGCAGCGCGCCGATGAAAAATTCTCACAAATCGTGTTCATGAATCGCGAATAATCGCGATCGCGCACGGTCGGTTTCTCTCTCGTAAGAATGCGATCCGATATTTTCTCGGCCGACTCGCATCTGGGGAGATCGTTAAGAATTCCCCGGCCGGTGCGATGTACGCATAAACACGAATCACGCAAGGAGATCGTGCGTTTTAATTTATATATCAGCAACAGAAAGCTTATATTCCGATTTCGTAATTGCTCTGCAAATCTCGCTCGCTTATCTCTCATCCGCTCCGCCGCGGCCTTGATCTGAATTCAATTCACGATACCGTGGATATCGGTAACGCGACGAGTTAAGAACGACTCGATCCTCCCACGCCTCCTCAAGAAAACGCTCCAAGAAAGCGCTCCGAATTTCGAGAGCGACAGCGACGATCGGAGCAATCGTATTTATTTGATCATTAAACAGCTCTCTTTCGTTTTACATATTACATCCAATTTATATGTACTTTTTATTTTATATATTTTTTTCTTATATATGTTTCACCGATCTCGAAACATTTTGACAATTTGAAAAGCGGCAAATAATTGTACATCCCGAATAAAGGAAATCACGAATTGCACGCGAGCTTCCGTTCGTGCAGACTTCGAATCAAATGAAGAGCCCATATTAGAGTAGCTTACAATAAGGCGGCTTTCTTCTCTCTTAAATGGTTAATAAGTTTACTTGGCTAATTAAGGTAGATGAGTGGCATTACGCTGCAAACATTGAGCGCGATACATTTACGTCAGCACATATTTGTGAGATCGCTTTGAATGTATCGCTTTGAATGTATCGTTGTTCCACCGTTATTCTCCGCCACGAATCGGAGAAAAAGAAAGGACGAATGCGGGAACGGCAGAAAAAGATTGGTAACTTCGTGAAATATCAACCGGCCGCCGACGAGCGACGGCGACGGTTGCATTCCGATGCAGCCTTTCTTTCGTCGCTATTTAAATGTCGGTTTCGCGTTCTTTCCTCTTGACTCTCCCCTGGGCACAGTTAATTAGATAATTAGGATGTATGTTTTAAACAAAGTGTTGTTTCAATCGGCACCAAGAGGAATCTGTTGTTGATTCTTGAGGACTCTTGTTCTGTGAGCGACAGTGAGTTCCGCTCAATCGAGCACTCGCAAAGCTAAAGACTGTGAACAAAGTTGACCGAATAGCGTGCGAAACTTTAATCCTATGTATCATTGTGCATACAGGATTGGCGAATTCCGTATATATGTTCCCTTGAAGTATACATTATAATAAAGAGGCCGCGTGATTCTTTCTTCATTATACAAATGCCTACTCGTAAACGATTACAAGCATGAATATTCTTTTATTCGCGGTGTAAATCTTTTCTTAGATAATTTTTCTGCATCACGCAAATCGAAGGTGCACCCACGATCGAACTCCGCCCACCGAAGGCACGCCGATAAATTTCGCAACAGCAAAGGCAGCATCCTTAAAGTAGTACGTCTAATAACATATATTAGCCTTCTCGTACTGGAAGAAACGTAGAAGCAACAGTTAGAAAAAAAATTATTACACAAGATCGTCGCGAAAATTTTAAAACAATATATTTCTCATTTTAAGGAACTCATTAAATTATAGTCTCGATTTATTAAACATCATTGTTCAATTTTTTTAACCACCCTTTGTTTCTGACCAACCGAAATCTTTCATTTGCATAAATTATAATCGCTAATTGCTCTTGATATAATTCAATTTGATGGAAATCCACAGGGACAGCTTAACGACGAAATGCTGGGAGACAACGTTGATCCCGTGCACACCGGGTAGGATAAATTTTCTCTTCCTCTCTTGTGGAATGCATCGTCTTCTGCGTTGATGTGATACTCGCGAACGGCGCTAAATGACAACCTGAAAATCTCGCGTAAGCGAAAGTAGAGAAAGCTGCGTTGCTGTTTAAAGACGAAACACGCCTAACGGCGTCATCCAGATGCCAGAATCACGTGCGCAGCTTCCAGATGCGCCACCGGGTATTAATTGTGTGCGCGCAACGGATCGATTATGTCGGCGAACGAGATAAAAATTTCATAGGCCCGAAAACGACAACTGTCATTAGATCTTAAGTTCATCACGCTAATAGCAGTTTTGCGATGTGCGCGATTGCTAATTTCTAATTACTCTTCACAATGCTTTATACTTTTGTATGCAAAATTATATTAATAATATATTTACGTAACATATAATTACATTACATTAAAATTTATACAAAATAATACTAATTAATTGAATAATGTCTAATCTAATCTAATTTAATATATTCAGTCTATTTTTTATAACTTTATAACTTTATTACCGTAACATTAATTTTCTTGCACCTCTTATCTTGATAATTAAATTCTAGATTAAAAAGAAAAGCGGAAAAGAACTATTTGCAAGTTGAAACAATCCACACACTAATATTCGCAACTATGCAATTGCAAGGTTTCCTATTTGCAGAATCGCGCGTATTAAATTATTAATAAATTGTTTCGACGAAGGGAACAAAGATGCAATTTCGGAAGCCGGAGCATACGCTACCTGATGATGCTTCCGGCTGGCATATAACTGATCCGAGTTGAACAAAGCTCGGGCCGTTAAGCCGCCTGCAAGTGCAAAAATCCCGATAATGGAATATTTAATAACCAACCAGCTGCTCGGCGCGCCTCGATACGTGCTAAACGAAGGAATGACTGAGTCGGTGAAATTGACTCCATTACTAGTAGGTCAGTGGGTGACGGAAGGCAAATGACGCAGCTAGGTATTTGTCTATCTGCTCGCCACAACTTGTTTTTAGTCGGCGCATGCAGATAAACATCGCGCTCACGCCTATCTCCGCGCCGTTTAATTGAAATTCTCCTTGCTCGTCGAGGCTGGAGGCGTAGCCGGAGATTTTCTCGCAATGCTCAATTTCACCGGCGATGATGTCGCTGATGATAATTTAAAAATAAATGTCGCTTAATAAAAACCACAGACGCTTCCGCTGTAAATACTGAATAATCTTTGTAAATAAATAATCTTTATAAAAGATTCTAATGCTTAAAAATTTTTTGCAAAGTTTATTAAGATATAATGAAACAAATATAGTAATTATTTTAAATAAATATTGATATAAAAAAACTGAAATTTAATAATACAAATACAAATTTTTCAAACATTTATTTAGCGTTAAAAAATAAAGATGATATAATAAAGTAAATGTTAGAAAATGTTATTATTATGTTATAAATATAACATGACTAAAAAATTACATTGTAAAATAATAAAAAAGAGAAGAGTCCTTCGAGCCGGATTTGAACCAGCGACCTATGGATATCTATTGAACAAGTTTAACCTCTACAGTCCACCGCTCTACCAACTGAGCTATCGAAGGATTAAGAAAGGCTGTTTAAATAAAGTAGATATAGTAAATATCATTATCTATAAGTAGAATTAATTAAAATTTTTTAATTAAAACAATGTAATGTAAAGTAAAATATTTTTGGAGCAAAATTTGAATCGATAATCTATAAAGATCTTCTAAATAAATAACTAATTCACTACTGAAGCTATGAGAGATACGAGAAAAAGTCAAAAGTAAAATAAATTTTTTAAAGATTTTGGTTTCTTAAATGTTCTTTTACTTTTTTGTTTACTCTTGTATATTTGTCATTAAAAAGATTAGTAATAATAATACGTTTAGTGCGTTAAATTAATTCGAGAAATGATTCTTGAAAGACGGATAGTAAAAAAGTTTCTTTGAGCTGGATGAACTATAGCGATCTATAAACGGCTATTGGAAATGTAAAACCAACTACAGTTCACCTCTTGATGAACTAACAAACAGAAGGTTTTGTATATATCACTCCTATAAATAGCAGTCTAATGCATAGCAATATTGAAAGGCAAATAAAAGATTGAAAAATT